GAAAATAAACAAAATAGATAAACTCGTAGCTAGACTTATTAAGAGAAAAAAAGAATCTACACACATAAACAGAATCAGAAGTGAGAAAGGAAAAATCACCATGGACACCACAGAAATACAAAGAATTATTAGAGAATACTATGAAAATCCATATGCTAACAAACTGGATACCCTAGAAGAAAAGGACAACTTCCTAGAAAAATACAGCCTTCCAAGACTGACCCAGGAAGAAACAGAAAATCTAAACAGACCAATTACCAGAAATGAAATTGAATCGGTAATCAAAAAACTACCTAAGAACAAAACTCCCAGGCCAGATGGATTCACTGCTGAGTTTTATCAGACATTTAGAGGAGACATAATACCCATTCTCCTTAAAGTTTTCCAAAAAATAGAAGAGGAGGGAATAGTTCCAAACTCATTCTATGAGACCAGCATCACTCTAATACCAAAACCAGAAAAAGAAACCACAAAAACAGAAAACTACAGACTAATATCCCTGATGAACATAGATGCAAAAATACTCAACAAAATATTAGCAAACCAAATTTTAAAATACATCAAGAGGATCATACACCATGATCAAGTGAGATTCATCCCAGGCATGCAAGGATGGTACAATATTAAAAAATCCATCAACATCATCTACAACATCAAAAAAAAAAGACAAATCCACATGATCATTCCCATGGATGCTGAAAAAGCATTCAACAAAATTCAACATCCATTCATGATAAAAACTCTCAACAAAATGGGTATAGAGGGCACATACCTTGACATAATAAAGGCCATATATGACAAACCCACAGCCAACATCATACTTAACAGTGAGAAGCTGAAAGCTTTTCCTCTAAGATTGGGAACAAGAGAAGGATGCCCACTCTCCCCACTTTTATTCAACATAGTACTGGAGGTCTTAGCCACGGCAATCAGACAACACAAAGAAATAAAAGACATCCAGACTGAAGTCAAACTGTCACTGTTTCTAAAGACATGATATTGTACATTAAAAAACCCTAAAGAATCCACTCCAAAACTAATAGATCTAATATCTGAATTCAGCAAAGTTGTATGATACAAATTAATACACAGAAATCTGTGGCTTTCCTATACACAAATGATGATCTAGCAGAGAGAGAATTCAGGAAAACAATTCCATTCACAGTTGTATAATAAAGAATAAAATAGCTAGGAATAAACCTAACCAAGGAAGTGAAAGACCTATACACTGAAAACTACAAGACACTCCTAAGAGAAATTAAAGAGGACACTAATAAATGGAAACACATCCTGTGCTCATGGATAGGAAGAATTAATATTGTCAAAATGGTCATCCTGCCTAAAACAATCTGCACATTCAGTGCAATCCCTATCAAAATACCTATAGCATTCTTTAATGAACTAGAGCAAATCATTCTAAAATTCATATGTAACCACAGAAAACCCCAAATAGCCAAAGCAATCCTGAGAAGGAAGAATAAAGCAGGGGGAAGTAAGCTCCCTGACTTCAAGCTCTACTACAAAGCCACAATAATCAAGACAATTTTGTACTGGCACAAGAACAGACCCATAGACCAATGGAACAGACTAGAAAGCCCAGATATAAATCCAAGCATATATGGTCAATTAACATATGATAAAGGAGCCATGGATATACAATGGGGAAATGACAGCCTCTTCAACAGCTGATGTTGGCAAAACTGGACAGTTACATGGAATAGAATGAAATTGGATTACTGTCTAACTCCACACACAAAAGTAAACTTGAAATGGATCAAAGACCTGAATGTAAGTCATGAAACCATAAAACTCTTAGAAGAAAATATAGGGAAAACTCTCTTGAATATAAACATGAGCAACTTCTTCATGAACATATCTCCATGGGCAAGGGAAACAAAAGCAAAAATGAACAAGCAGGACTATATCAAACTAAAAAGCTTCTGTACAGCAAAGGACACCATCAGTAAAACAAAAAGGCATCCTACAATATGGGAGAATATATTCATACATGACATATCTGATAAGGGGTTGACATCCAAAATATAGAAAGAGCTCATGCACCTCAACAAACAAAAAGCAAATAACCCAATTAAAAAATGGGCAGAGGATCTGAACAGACACTTCTCCAAAGAAGAAATTCAGATGGCCAACAGGCACATGAAAAAATGCTCCACATCGCTAATCATCAGGGAAATGCAAATTAAAACCACAATGAGATATCACCTCACACCGGTTAGGATGGCCAACATCCAAAAGACAAGGAACAACAAATGTTGGCAAGATTGTGGAGAAAGGGGAACTCTACTACACTACAGTGCTGGTGGCAATGTAAATTAGTTCAACCATTATGGAAAGCAGTATGGAGGTTCCTCAAAACACTAAAAATAGAAATACCATGACCCAGGAATTCCAGTGCTAGGAATTTACCCTAATAATGCAGGAGCCCAGTTTGAAAAAGACATATGCACGCTGTGTTTTTTGTATCACTATTTATAATAGCCAAGAAATTGAAGCAACCTAAGTATCCATCAGTAGATGAATGGGTGAAGAAGACATGGTACATATATGCAACGGAATATTATTCAGCCATAAGATGAAAACACATTGTACCATTTGCAACAACGTGGATGGAGCTAAAGGGTATTATGCTCAGGGAAATAAGCCAGGCAGAGAAAGTCAAGTATCAAGTGATTTCAGTCATCTGTGGATTATAAGAACAAAGAAAAATACTGAAGGAATGAAACAGCAGCAGACTCACAGAACCCAAGAATGGACTAACAGTTACGAAAGGGAAAGGGACTGGGGAGTATGGGTGGGAAGGGAGGGATAAGGGGAAAATGGGGCATTAGAATTAGCACACATAATGTAGGGGGGTGGCACGGGGAAGGCAGTATAGTAGAGAGAAGATAAGTAGTGATTTGATAGCATCTTACTATGCTGATGGACAGTGACTGTAATGGAGTATGTGGTGGGAACTTGATAATGGGGGGAATCTAGTAACCACAATGTTGTTCATGTAAGTGTATATTAATGACACCAAAAAAAAATAATAAAAAAGAGCAGATTTGCATTACAAGAATGTTTTTAAAACATTCTTCAGAGGGAAGGGAAATGAGACTAAATGGAAACCCAGATATAAAGGAATGAATGAAGAACACTTGAAATGGTAAATATGTGGGTAAATATAAAAGACTGTACATTTTTTTCTTAATTTCTTTAAAAGACATGTAATCATAGGCAAAAATTATCGTATTTAAACATATTTGGGTCTTAAAATACATGAAAACATGTATATGATAACAATAACATAAAGGATGGGGAATAAATAGAACTAAAACTTTACAGAACTAAATAGGACATTTGCAAGTTTCTTACAGTTTCCATCAGATACAGTATGAAGTTTATGTACATTGAGATAATTTAAGGGTGTATACAGCAAACTCTAGAGTAAGCATTAAAAATTAAAGAGGTTTAACAGAAGGTCAACAGAGGAATTAAGATAAAATATGAAGAAATACTGATTAACCCAAAAGATAGCAGAAAGGACAGAGGAACAAAATAAGGATGAAACAACTAGAATACAATTTGCAAAGTGTTACTAGATCTAAATCCAACCACATTAACATTATATTAAATGTAAATAGACTAAAAACTCCAGTTAAAAGGCAGAAATCAGACTGGATGTAAAAAGAAAATCAAGAAGCAGCTATAAGTTATCTACAAAGATACACAGAGACAGATTGAAGGGGAAAGGATGGAAAAAAATTTACCAGGAAAGAGTAAGCCTAAGAAAAATGGAATGGTTCTATTAGTATTAGACAACATAGACTTCAAACCAGGAGTGTTAAGACTGGTAAGAATGGACAGTTCATAATATAAAGAAAGGGTCAAATCATCAGAAGACATAAAAACCTAACCAGAAACATAAAAATCTTGTATATGTACCTAACAACAAAACTTCAAAAAACATAAAGTAAAAACTCACGAAAATAAAAGAAGAAATAGACAAATCCATGGTCATAGATTGTAACTTTCATCTCAGTGAGTGATAGAAAAACTAAATTTAAAAATCCATAAGGATATAGTTGATCCAAATATGCTATCAATACTTAATTGATATTTATAGGAACAATTCATTGTTACAGAACCACTCAACTGCAACATACACATTCTGTTTAAAGTGCACAGGGAATGCTCACTAAAGTAGATAATATACTATGAAATAAGAAAATAAGTTAGGAAGTTTTAATAAATTTCAAAAGGTTGAAATCTTAGTGCCTCTTCTCTGGCCACAACAGAATTAAAATAGAAATCAATAATAATTTCTAGAAAAGCACCTAAATACTTCAAAATTAAACACACACTTAAAATCAGTGTGTCAAAAAAAGAAATCATAAGGGAAATAAAATCTTCTGAATGGCAAAACCATAGTATATCAAAAAATGTGAAATGCAGATATAACAGTGCTTCAAGGGAAAGGCATAGCTTTTAATGTTAATATTTTTTAAAAGTAGTTTTTAAAATCAATAACATCATCTACTCTAGGCAATTATAAAAAGAAAAGGAAGTCAACTACCAGTTAAATAGGAAGAAAGAAATAATGAAGAGCAAAGTCAATGACCTAGAAAACAAAAATCAATGGAAGCAAAAAAATGGCTTTTTGAAACGATTTTAAAAATTGATAAGCTTCTGACTAGATTTGTTGGAAGATAAAATATAAACTACCAATATTAGGAATGTCTGAGCAAAGGACTGGGTCCCTGCTCTCATGAACTTCTAGCGGGGGGAACAAACTTAAATAATCGCACAAAGATGTATAGCTATAGACTGTTGTAAACTCTGTATGAGCGTGGCCAATTTAGGTCTGGGTGTCCCCCCTGAGGAGGTAAATTAACATTATCTCAGCCCCTGGTCTTCCCGGCCCCCGCCGGCAGGGGGCAGACCCGCCCCGCTCCCGTCCCCGCCCTTCCGCGCAGGCGCAATGTCAGGGCTGGGTGGAGGGCGGCCCGCGGAGGGGGCGGGACAACCGTCCGGCAGCTACCGAGTGTGTCCGCGGGTTTGTGAGGTGGCCTCGGTCGGGCCCAGTGGCTGAGGTCACCCGCGATGCCGAGGCCAGAGCCGGCATCCTCGCCCCTCTGAGCAGCTCTCGGCGCGGAAGGCTCAGAGAGTGGCTATGGCGGAGTCCTCCGCGCCCGGGCGCAGCGAGTCCCCAGGCAGCGGGAGCCTGGCGGACGAGACGGAGGAGGAGGAGGAGGAGGAGCGGGAGCCGCTGCTGCCGCGGATCGCCTGGGCCCCGCCGCGGAGGGGCGCGCCGGGGGGCGCCGTGAGGCTGGTGGAGGCTGGAGGCGAGGAGGGCGCGGCCTTCCCTCGCGAGGCTGGCGATGAGGAACCGCTGCTCCCGCACAGGGACGCGCCGCGCTGCCCCTCCCGGGGCCCAAGAGGCCTCCGGAACTCGCCCACCGACCCGGACCGGATCCGCCCCGTGGGTTCAGGTGCGACCCGGCTCTTAACCTTCTGTCCGCGGCGCTCTCGGAGCCCCTGTCGCCACCCTGCTCCGCTCCCCGTTCTCGCCCCTGCCTGGGTCCCAGCTCCCCACCCTGCCCCGGGCTCGGTTCTCTGTCTCACACTAGCGCTTCCCTGTAGGAAAGGCAGTTCACCAGGCATCCCGTCCAACGCACAGGACAAGGAGCCAGACGCTGGTTAAACCTTGGACACCTTGCCCTTCTTTCCTGCTCTCCCGTTCACCGCACCGTTTCCGGGGGCTCTAGGCTCCTTCACCTAAGGCCCATGGTTGTCATCAAACTCTGATACTTGAGGCTCCCCAATGAGCCTAAGCTTTTGGAGTCAGACACTAGGGGAAATTTAACACCGTAAAATGACGGAAGCTCTTTGCTTAAGTTTGGACTTGAGGTTTGGATTAAGAACCCTGAACTTTCAAGAAAGTTCCCCAAGTTGTTAATTTGCAACGTGGATAATAGCAGAAGTGAACAGCAAGAATATCCAATTGCCACTGGGACACGTTTTAGGAACTTTATATTAAATGTTATTGTGACGTTAGCTAAAGGAGGCAGAGGCGGTTAAGTTTTTGTATCTGATATCTCTTGCAAGGTTTTCTTTCTTGAATCATTTCTATTAGTATACTTTAAAAGAAAAAAACCCTTTTCACTATTAAGTGGATTGATAGCCTCAGGTAAAAGAGAGGGGAATTGAAGTGTTGAAAGGGAGTAAAATTTAGGCATTATCCTGCAGGCATGGATATATATTGATAAAGGAAGGTTTTTTTTCACATGAGGTGTCGAGTTAGGCTAGTTTGATAGTAAAACAGAGTAGACTTGTAAGAGTTCCAACTAGAAGTGAGACAGGCTAGTTTGTAAAATGGTAATGGTAACACCTAGCTGCTGGTTAAGATAGTTTAACTGAGATGGTGTGTGCACTGTTGTTCATAGATATCACCTAATATGTGACAAATAAAAGCCACAGGGAATGTAGTTTTTATCAGTACTACTTAGTTTGACATGTCCTACTACTAGTACACTAATGGGCTTTCTCCAATTTAAAGAGTTTTAGATAGAATAGGCTATTCAACTTAACTTCCAGTGAAACATATTTTAGACTGAATAAAATGGAGAGGCCCAAGGGAAGTTGACTTTCTAATTCAAGGGTTTCAGAAATAAACTTTAGCAAACCAGTCTGACATGCATCTGACATGCGGGTCAGTAAATGGTAATAGTTACTGTGTTAGCTGATGGATGCGTTGACAGTACATTTAACAGAACAATCAGGAAGTTGGAACCAGATGACAAATGGAACCACATTCACTTACCTACATTGGTAATTGGTGTATATATTACCCAGAATTCCATCTGAAGTAAATCAGATTTGAGTGACTAGCTTGCCTTTTCCTACCCCAGAATTACCTGTGTAGCTAGATTTCAAAAGAGCCCAAAACCTTGTAAGTACCTTTATTCTGTGAAAGTGGGATTTTGGAAACAAATAATACTAAGGTTAGGAAAAAGTAAAATTGGGAATAGAGTTTAGTACTCAAAATACAAATGGATTATTGAAGAGAATTCCTACCTGTTTTAATGATAGTAGTTTTTATAACACTTTCATAAATGACTGCACAGCTCACGGTTTAAGACCTTTTTAAAAAACTTCATTAATTCTTACATTAGCACTGCAAATTAATTGTTACTCATCCTTAATCCTTGTAGTGAGGATTGAAAATGAGTAAAACTGTAATGACTAATAGTTCATAAAACTTAAGAGGTTAAGCCAAAGTCAAGTATCCAGGAAGTGGTAAAGGCAGGACTGAGCCTAGTTCTTTCTTCCTGTTCTGCACTTCTCCCATTTTGCTGTAGATCCCCAAGTGTTAAAAAATAATTGTTTCTTTGGGTTATTTATTATGAAGGTCTTATTTTTAATAGATTTAGAAATAGTTTTGAATTATAAAAACTACTTTTAAAATTTCAAACCAGTCTTCTAAAAAGTTTATGACTGAGTAATTTAACTAGAGTTTTAAGTTTAGTTATCTTTTAATGTATCTGTTAACTTACCCTTTATCATCCAATTTCTATGCAGCCACCTCTGTAATTCCAAGAAATTCTTGCCTTTAGATGAATATTAACATCATTTATGATGATTACCTGTTTTGTTTATGTAAACAGGAGCTTGATGTATTAGCCAGTGGAAGAATGTCATATTAGACAAGAAAGTTGTTATCTGTACTTGAACAAAGCATTTAACAAGGTCTAGAATCGGCATAAACCATAAGCCATAGTATTGTTGGATCAATGTCAAAGTAGAAGGATTAGTGGCATTCCTTGTTCTAGTTGTCATTTTTACTCAGGAATTGAAGAGTAATAAAGATGATAATAGGTAATACACATGTAACAAGTAGTATGTGCAGGGCATAGTTCTATATATAGTTCTCTTATTAATTCATAGCGAACCCTCTGAAGTGAGTAGTTCTCTTATTAATTCATAGCAAACCCTCTGAAGTGAGTAGTATTTTTTATTCTCATTTTAAGGAAGCATAGAGAAGTGAAGTGACTTCTCCAAGGTCCCAGTTAATAAAACCAGGAGACCTGGGAGAGGTCTTGTTTTGTCAGAGAACCTAACAATTAGCGAATGGTGTTGGAGTTCACAAAGAGCTACCAAGTAAAAGGAAGTATGTATTTGTAAGCCTTTTAATGATTCATGGTGGCGTATAAATGTACAAACAATAAAATCATTTACAAGAAAGGAATAAAGACAACAGTGGGAAATAAGAGTAATGAAATAAATAAGATGGGGATTGGAATAGGAATACACAAAATGTACATCAGACACTTGATGCAAGCAGCACACAAATCTGATTTTTAAGAGAGCCACCAGCTTGAGAGAAACACAAACACTGTGTCCATAAAATTAAAATCAACTGGCTATTTGGACCGAAATAGAACTGATAAAGGATAACCTGTCATGTATTCCTTTGGGGAAGAGCCTGGATGCTAAGTAATATCTTTGTAATGAAAATGATGAATTTCATTGAGAATATTCCCTGCAACTTTACTGACGCCTGTTTCAGTAGAGGTAATTCCAGTGGATGGTGCCAGCAGTATTGCTGGATCTAGATTCAAGATAGTGATAATCTGGCCTAATTTAGAGGAAGGTCTTAGAAGAGTAGATGTCCCATGTGTCTTGATAATCCTCCGAACGTGAGCTTTTAAAAGGTAGTGAGCAGTGGGGATGTTGGGGATTATTCCTCAACCAGTAAGTTAGAATATAACTATTCTTTGTTTTCCATTTATTGCTGAGAAAAATCATTCGTCAAATATTTGGGTGCTTACTTGGCTGCCAGCGGAAATCGAGGCCTTGGGGAAGCAGTGGTGACTGACATATCAAATGGATGTTCAGTCACCAGCCTTGTCCCCACTTAGCTTTATATTCTCGTGGAGGAAACAGTCAATTAAAACAGCTCTAACAGGGAATATATATGCTTGGATGGGGAAAGCTGAGGAGTCCATTAGATCGTGTTCTGGATTTAGGCCCAGGGAAAACTAAGTAGAGGACATGGCATCCAATTTGAGACTTGAAGGATGAATAGCCCTGGAGCCCCCGGGGCAGGACGCAGATCACCAAACTCATGAGCCAGATACTTTTTCTTTTAGAAAATGTTCTGGTCAGTGGGTAAGATATAGTCCCAACCCTCCAGTGAGGAAGAGTTCATTTTGATTATTTAAAATGAGAACTTGTTAAGTTATGTATACTTACATAAAATAAATGAAAAAGGTTTTTCAATGAATTATTTTATTCTAGTTTCAGTTTCTACTTACTAAAGGACTAGTAATAGCCCTTAAGGGGATAGTGTGTTACTAAATAATTCTCAAATTTATTGAGGGCCCACCATGTGCCAGGCACTGTTTTAAGCACCTGGGATTTATCAGAGAACAAAACAGTCATCTCTACCCTCCCGGACTTAGATAGTTTTGTTACAGCATTGCAAGTGGTCAGATGGAGTTGAAAGGTGAGTTAGAATTAGCCGTGGGAAGGAAGCTTGTCAAATGGGGAACAGCATGGGCAAAGGTTCAGTGGGTGGGCTGGATGTCTTGTGAAAAATGAGGCACTTAAATAGAACTGGAACTTAACTAGAAGGCCACCACTTAGAGGAGACCCAAAGTTAGTACATGAGGTAGAACTGAGATTCGCCTCAGAAACAATTTGAATATTGATTGATTTGTTTGTTTACCAAACAGAAATCCCAGTAGTTTATACCTAAAGAAGGGGTAATAGTAATTTGAATTTAAAAAAATTAAAATGTAGCTAACCATGCCCCTCAGTTGTTAAAAATCAAACCAAACAATGACAACAAACTTTGAAACCAGATCTCTGTAGCACGTATACTCTGACACAGCGTAACCTTTGAGGGTATCCTTCAAATTAAACTCATTGCCAAATGTCTGTTTAACTGAAATGAAGAAAATTGTAGAATGTAATTGTGTTATGAGTCAGTTAAAGAAAAATCTACTCAAAAACAATTACTTTGATTTTAGAATAGTTAATAAGTAGCCTTTTTACTGGCAGTAATGAGATGGTAGGACCAGTTGTCTTTGAAGTGTCTTTCTAGAATATGATGGTAAACCTGCACTGTCTTCAAATAATGCCCATTTTTGTGTAGGGATATTATCTCACCCAAAAGAGTTGCTCAATAAGGGACAAGTTACAGAGAAAAGGGCTTGAAAACATCCTGGCTGATTTTATAGGAATGGTTCTGATTGATCTAAACCACTGGTCAAAACTAAATTACTAAGTACTCAGTATGATCTTGGGCTCCATAAGAGGAACAAAGGCAGGTTCTGTGATGAACTCATGAAGCAGTGTGATAACATTTAATAATAATAATGTCAGAGTCTGCACGTAGTTTTCAAAAGGATTGCTCACGTGCAGGATCGGAGGGAGCAAAGCTGTCTATGAGTGTAGCCTTTCAGTGTGAAGTGGTAGTATGACAGGACTCCTGGACAGCTAATGCAATCCCAGACGGCTTCTTAGTCTGCTATAGTATCAAGACTGAGCAATGTCTCTATTCTCTGAATGGGTTGCTCGATTCTGGTGACCACATTTTAAGGAGACACACTGAAAAACTGAGGCATGAAACAGGAGGATAACTTGGATGCTGGAAAGCCTGAAAACACTTCCATATGGAAGGAGAGGGAGAATAAAGAAGACTTAGGGGAACATGGAATGATCTTCAACTATTTGAAAAGCTATCCTTGAGAAGAAAGGAGTAAGTAGACTTGCTCCAAATGGCAGGTCTAGGGCAATGGGTAAAACTACAGGAGACTTATTTCTTGAAGAGGAGGTTTATATCTGTTTTCAAACTAACAAAGGGAGCATGAAAAGAGTAGTGATCTCTTCTTTGAAAGTGGTTAAATGTTGGCCCAAGAGCACTGGCTGGTGATGTAGTACGGAGAGTAAGCCAGCACTAGAGCAAGGTTGAAATAAGCAACTTCCCAGGTTCCTTCTTGTTAAGAGCCTTGACCTAGAAGAAATATCATTTGACTAATGATAGTTATTACTGGCCCATTCTAGGACATAAATACTTCATGTATTCAATTAAATATCAAGTACCCACTAAATTTTGATCCCTCTTCACTGTGAACAGAAAAACAAAGTTCCTCCCTTCATTCTTTCTTTTTTTAAATTTTTAATTATTTATTTTATTAAGGTATCATTGATAGACACTCTTATGAAGGTTTCACAAGAAAAACAATATGGTTATTACATTCACCCTTATTGAGTCCCTCCCATACCCCATTGCAGTCATTGTCCATCAGTGCAGTAAGATGCTACAGAGTCCCTATTTGTCTTCTCTGGGCTACACTGTCTTCCCCATGACCCCACACACACCATGTGCACCAATCACAATACCCCACAATCCTCTTCTCCCTCCCTCCCCACCTGCCCTCCTTCACCCCTCCCCTTTGGTAAACCATTAGTCCTTTGGAGTCCGTGAGTCTGCTGTTATTTTGTTCCTTCAGTTTTGCTTTGCTGTTATACTCCACAAATGAGGCAAATCATTTGGTATTTGTCTTTCTCTGCTTGACTTATTTCACTGAGCATAATACTCTCTAGCTCCATCCATGTTGTTGCAAATGGTAGCCTCCCTTCATTCTTAAGAATTTTTATAGGATAAATATGAATGATTTGGAATTAATGTATCAATTATATAGACATAACTAAAATACTTAAATTATTCTTTTAAGTAGATTAAATATGGCCAATTGCCATTTATGTACTATTTTTCTCAGCACAACTTTTAAAAATTAGTAAGTAACAGACTTATTTCTGTCTGAATTAAGGCAAATTTTGAATTAAGGGAAGTTTATGTTTAAAATTTTCATAATATTGACTGCACACAATAGTATTTAAATACCTTACAAAGTAAAATGTGAGTAAGTTTCGGCTTGTCTACCACTTTAAATGATTATTTATTAATTCATTCTGCAAATGTTTAATGAGTGCCTATTATGTTCCAGGAACTATAAATATTCTGAGCATACAACAGTAAAAGAAATCCTTGTCTTCTTGGAGCTCACAAAATTAAATGATGTGTTAGGTGATAAGTGCTAAATAGAAAAATGAAGTGGAGGATGGGGGAGATGTGGCAGGGTCTTGGAGGCCGTTGTAAGGACTTGGACTTTTTCTTTGAGTGAGATGGGAAATTACTGGGCTGTTTTGTACACAGGAGTGACAAGATCTGACTTATATTTTATTTGACTGTAGCTTCTCTGTTGACGATAGAGAGGGCATGGATGAAAGAGACCAGTTAAGAGACTCTTATAATAATTTAAGTGAGAGTTGATAGTGACATAAATCACCTGGAAGGAGGGGAGATGGTAAGAAGTGGTTGGATTCTGGATATTTAAGGTAGAGTCACACAACTTGCTGATGGGTTGGATGTGGAGGGGTGGTGAAAGTGTAGGATCATGGATGATATCAAGATTTTTGGTCTGAGCAACTGGAAGATTAGGAGTTCCCACCAACTGAGTGAAGCAGTCGGGGTGGGCAGATGAAGAGTTGAGTTTTGGATAGTAAAGTCTGAGCTGTTCATTAAACATCCAAATAGAGGTGTTGAAGTACAATAGTCTGGAGTTCAGGGCAGAAGTCCAGGCTTGAGATACCAGTGTTGATAAAGAAAAGAGGATCATGAATTAAGCCTGGGACATTCCAAAGTTAAGCAGCCACGGAGATGAAGTACACCAGCAAGAAGACTGAAAAAGAGCAGCCAATGAAGTAGGAGGAAAACCTGGAGAAGTGGGGTCCTAGAAGCCAAGTGAAGAAAGTGTTTCAAAGAGGAGTGGGTGACCAACAGGGTCAAAGGTGGTACTGCTCAAGGAAGATACGTTCTGAAGTTGGAGGTCACTGTGTACCCTGACAAAATTATATCAGTGGAGTGGTTGGGACAGAAGTCTGACTGAAATGGGTTCAAGAGAGAATCAGAGAAGAGTTGGAGATAAATATAAATAACTGCATACAACTTCTGTTGTAAAGGGGAGCAAGAAATTAAGTGAGTGTCTAGGAGGATTGTGGGGGTTAAAAGATTTGCATTAAGATGAGAAAAATTACAGCATTCTTAGTAAGGTGATGGAAATGATCCAACAGAGGAGGAAATATTGACGCAAAGAAGGATTGCTGGAGAAATGTTCTGGTGTAGTCAGGAAGAGATAGGGTCTAGGACACAAAGTGGAGGATTCGATTGTAGAGTTTATACAGTTCATCTGTAGGAAGAGGTGGGAGGCAGGGGATGTGGGTGGGTAGCAATGAGGGCCAATGATAGTTTTTTCTGACTGCTTCTCTTTTCTTAATGAAATAGGAAGCTATATCATCTGATGAGGAGAAGGTGTTGGGAATTTGAGGAGGCGAGGGGTACGAGATGGTTGTCCAGAAGGATGGGAGAGCCTGTGCGCCAGGGGAGTTGTCCCAGTTCAAGGTGCTGTACCAAAATCCCATAGACTGGGTCACTTACACAACAGGTATTCAGTCCGCAGAGTCTGGAAGGTCCAGGAGCAGGGTGCTGGCATGGTCAGGTTCATAGAGCCCTCTTCCTGGCTTGCTGATGGCTGCCTTGCACTGTTCTTCCCTTGGCAGAGGGAGAAGAGAGTGTTCTGGGCACTGACTGTCTCATGGGAGCCCTGCCCTTATGATCTAAACCTTACCTCTCAAAGACCCCATCACCCAGTATGATGACTAATGACTGCAGGGGTTAGGGCTTCAGTGTGTTTTGTGGGGACATAAACATTCAGTCTGTAACATGAATGTAGGTATGTTTCCCAGGCAACATGCAGGGCCTACCTGAGGTTTGTAGTGATGAATTTAGAGTGAAGCCAGGCATCGCATTTGTGTGTGTGTGTGTGTGTGTGTGTGTGTGTGTGTGGTCAAGTCCAGCTGTCCTAGCACAAGCATAGTGAGCAGACAGTTGGGTTTAACCAGGATTGGAATTTTTCCAGGTGACTGTGGTGCGGGGAGGGAGGAAAAGAGTAGTTATATGATGATTGGCCATAATTGAAGCTGACCACGGAGGGAAGGAAGGACATGAGAGGGTGAAGACCAGAGACAACATGGTAGGTCAGTGCTTTGTAGATCCTAGTGGAATGGAGGAATTTTGGGGCTCAAGGTGCCAGAGGGAATGAACTAGGAAGACAGAAGTTGCTTGAAATGAAAAGTATTGAGAGGTTGCAGATATTGGTAATAATTGAGGTATGACAGCAGTTGGAGGTTGAAATAGGATGAAGAACCAAACCCCTGGAAGAGAGGAGTTCTAAGTAATGTGGGGGTGATGATTTCAGTAGGGATTTTGTTTTGCATGTGTCATAACTTGAAGCGTAAAGAGAAGTGGGGTGGGGAGCAATGGAGGATCAAAACAGCCCATATGATACTTGATTCGGTTTTTTCTGTATCTTAGTGTCCTAATACCAATAACCTAATGCAATATTACAGGTCCATATCATGAGCTTTCTCTGAGCTGGTCTTTCTTCTTTATGTTTTATACTAACATTGATTTTCTTAATGCAATAATTGTTGCTTCTTCAGAGTTGAACACATTCTTGGATGATCCTGAATTTGCTGATACTATATTGAAAGCAGAGCAAGCAATAGAATATGGAGTTTTTCCAGAAAGAATCTCTCAAGGTTCAAGTGGAAGTTACTTTGTGAAGGATCCTAAGAGGGTGAGAATTTCACAGACCTACTATATATAACAGAAATTTTGGAAAACACTAATGTAAATGTGAAGTCATTGTGAGTTTCTGAAGATAATTTCCTAATAAAACTGATTACACCTTCTTTTCAGAAATAAAGGTCAGTTTTTGTTTGTTATTACTAAAGCTATTACTAAAGCCACTTAGAAATAGAGCTATTCATTTTAAATATTAGTTTGCTGTTCAGTATTTTAATACTTGATTTCAAGCATTTATTGAATACTCATACTCAGTTGCAGACTTGTTGTGTTTTTGTTCATAAGTCCTTATCTTAAAGTAGCCAAGCAGAGTAGAAGTTTAAACTTTCAAAACCTGTTTAATGTTATTTCCAAAGTGCTTGACTTTTTTCAAAAGTTTATTCTACCCTAGGGATATTTTTTCTGGCATTATACGGAGAAGGTGCCTGGGCAATCTGAAGTTTGAAGGCATTGGAATGTGACAAAGTGAAATGAACCAAAGTATAATTCTAGGGCAGTAAAGAGAAGCTGATATGAGACTTTGTTCCATATAGTCTAGAATTTTTCAGAAATCTATATTATCATTTCTAAAAGCTGTCTGAATGATGCATAGCCAGCAGTTCCTTTTCCAGGAAGAAGAAAGATTATATAATTTCATCCAAATATTTTTTGCTAAGTTTGAAGTTATATTTTAAAAGTCTATTTTTGAGATTTAAATTTATATGTAGGCAATGTCAATATCTCTGTCTTTATTCCAAGCTTGATTTCTTAATTTGTTCTTGTTGACATTATTAGTGACTTAGTCTTTATTGCATTATAAAGCAATTATATACTTGAAATTGTAAGATTTTTATTTCTTGTCTAAGGATGTTTCAGCCTCTGTTTAATATGAATGTATTTTATCAGATCAGTAATAAAGATCATAGACTTTTAGACATCCATGAGCAAAATTTTTTTTTTTTTTGAGAGGGCATCTCATATTTATTGATCAAATGGTTGTTAACAGCAATAAAATTCAGTATAGGGGGGTCAATGCTCAATGTACAATCATTAATCCATCTCAAGCCTAATTCTCATCAGTCTCCAATCTTCTGAAGCATAACGAACAAGTTCTTACATGGTGAACGAATTCTTACAGAGTGAATAAATTCTTACATGGTGAACAGTACAAGGGCATTCATCACAGAAACTTTCGGTTTTGATCATGCAATATGACCTATAAACCATCAGGTCAAATATGAATATTCATTTGATTTTTGTACTTGATTTATATGTTGATCCCACATTTCTCCTATTATTATTATTATTTTTATTTTTAATAAAATGCTGAAGTGGTAGGTAGATGCAAGATAAAGGTAGAAAACATAGTTTAGTGCTGTAAGAAGGCAAATGTAGATGATCAGATGATCAGGTGTGTGCCTATGGACTAAGTATTAATCCAGGCTAGACAAGGGCAGCAAGACATCCACGGATGCAGAAGATTTCTCTCAAAGCAGGGGGGGTGAGGTTCTGAGCCTCACCTCTGTTGATCCCCAAATTCTCACCTGATGGCCCCCCTGCGACTGTGCCTGTCTTAGGTTGTTCCTCCCTTGAGGAATCTTACCCGTCTCTGGCTAACCAGTCATCTTCCGGGGCCATACAGGGAAATGTAAAGTTGGTAAGTGAGAGAGAAGCCATATTGTTTGCAAAGGTTAGCTTTTTACTTCTTTGCAGATTTATGCCCTGTGGCTTCTATGCCCAGCACTTGTCTCGAGGTATCTTTACCACCTGGAGGAATTATGATACTCGGTAAATTCGATATGAGGCACGAATTCTATTTAAGGTTTGTAATTAGGAAGGAAGAAGAAAAGCTATAGATGTAGCATATGAAGGAAACTTGGGAGGATTGATTATTTCTTTGACATATCTTCTTGTATAGTACCTTAAGTATGTATAGGTTTTAAACTACTAACTAATTTGCACACACATATTAACATAATAGGAATACGGTGACATAAACAAAGCAAATCTATAATTACCAGCCATCTCCAGTGAAGCCAAGAAAACCATTTAGGCACCCTAGGCATTTGTGAAAATTTATCTATGATATGATGGATATTTTCCAACTGTACTTGAACCATCAGACAAATTAAAGCAGCCCATTTCTGGGATCTGTTCACATCCCATATGTTCTTTTAACCATAGATAGTCTATAGTCATGAGATTTTGGGGTGCTACAACTTGCACCCCTCCCAACTCCTGGTTGAGTTCCAACAGTACAGATCCAGTCAAATTCGTTGTCTCACTGTATGCACATGCCAGCCTAGACATCTCCCTCCTCCTTCTTATGGCAAGTCCAGGAGATGGTGGGCTGGATGCAGCCACAACCGCAGCATCGTCCGGATCCCTGTGGAGGCTTTTTGATGATCATCCCCCGGCACGAGTCCTCCAGAGAGTGCTGATGCCGGAAGCTCCTCCTCATATCGTATCTTAGTTCATTTTCTGGGTATCCAAGCTAGGCCTTGATCTTCTGCGTAGAAACAAACAGACCCTTTGCCCACACTTTGACATGCCCTCTATACCACTGTGCAGAACTCATTGGAGGTCAGCACACAGTAACTTTTTTTTTTTTTTTTTTTAATTAAGAGAAAGGAATATTATCAGAAAAGAGTACCTCCATAGCTGATCATCTGACACCCTTTAAGTGATCAACATTAAGGATATTTAAAGCATGCGTTGATCTTTGATTTACCAATAGTTTTATCCTGTTAAGGAGTAATCCCCCTTTTCTTTCTTTTTTTTTTTTTTTTTTTTTTAAATTTTTAATCTACACTTACCTGAAGAATACTATGTTTACTATGCTCTCCCCTATATCAGGTCCCCCCTAACAACCACATTACGGTTACTGTCCATCAGCTTAGCAAAATGTTGTAGAGTCACTACTTGTCCTCTCTGTGTTGTGCAGCCCACCCTCCCCTTTCTCCCTCCCCCCCATGCATGCTAATCTTAATACCCCCCTTCTTCTTCCCCCCCCTTATCCCTCCCTGCCCACCCATCCTCCCCAGTTCCTTTCCCTTTGGTACCTGTTAGTCCATTTTTGGGTTCTGTAATTCTGCTGCTGTTTTGTTCCTTCAGTTTTTCCTTTGTTCCTATACTCCTCAGATGAGTGAAATCATTTGGTATTTCTCTTTCTCCGCTTGGCTTATTTCACTGAGCATAATACTCTCCAGCTCCATCCATGTTGCTGCAAATGGTTGGATTTTTCCACTTCTTATGGCTGAGTAGTATTCCATTGTGTATATGTACCACATCTTCTTTATCCATTCATCTACAGATGGACATTTAGGTTGCTTCCAATTCTTGGCTATTGTAAATAGTGCTGCGATAAACATAGGAGTGCATCTGTCTTTCTCAAACTTGATTGCTGCGTTCTTAGGGTAAATTCCTAGGAGTGGAATTCCTGGGTCAAATGGTAGGTCTGTTTTGAGCATTTTGATGCACCTCCATACTGCTTTCCACAATGGTTGAACTAATTTACATTCCCACCAGCAGTGTAGGAGGGTTCCCCTTTCTCCACAGCCTCGCCAACATTTGTTGTTGTTTGTCTTTTGGATGGCAGCTATCCTTACTGGTGTGAGGTGATACCTCATTGTAGTTTTAATTTGCATTTCTCTGATAATTAGCGATGTGGAGCATCTTTTCATGTGTCTCTTGGCCATCTGTATTTCTTTTTTGGAGAACTGTCTGTTCAGTTCCTCTGCCCATTTTTTAATTGGGTTATTTGTTTTTTGTTTGTTGAGGCGTGTGAGCTCTTTATATATTCTGGACGTCAAGCCTTTATCAGATCTGTCATTTTCAAATATATTCTCCCATACTGTAGGGTTCCTTTTTGTTCTATTGATGGTGTCTTTCGCTGTACAGAAGCTTTTCAGCTTAATGTAGTCCCACTTGCTCATTTTTGCTGTTGTTTTCCTTGCCCGGGGAGATATGTTCAAGAAGAGATCACTCATGTTTATGTCTAAGAGGTTTTTGCCTATGTTTTTTTCCAAGAGTTTAATGGTTTCATGACTTACATTCAGGTCTTTGATCCATTTTGAGTTTACCTTTGTATATGGGGTTAGACAATGGTCCAGTTTCATTCTCCTACATGTAGCTGTCCAGTTTTGCCAGCACCATCTGTTGAAGAGACTGTCATTTTGCCATTGTATGTCCATGGCTCCTTTATCAAATATTAATTGACCATATATGTTTGGGTTAATTTCTGGGGTCTCTAATCTGTTCCACTGGTCTGTGGCTCTGTTCTTGTGCCAGTACCAAATTGTCTTGATTACTATGGCTTTGTAGTAGAGCTTGAAGTTGGGGAGTGAGATCCCCCCTACTTTATTCTTCTTTTTCAGGATTGCTTTGGCTATTCGGGGTCTTTGGTGTTTCCATATGAATTTTTGAATTATTTGTTCCAATTCATTGAAGAATGTTGCTGGTAATTTGAGAGGGATTGCATCAAATTTGTATATTGCTTTCGGCAGGATGGCCATTTTGACGATATTAATTCTTCCTAGCCATGAGCATGGGATGAGTTTCCATTTATTAGTGTCCCCTTTAATTTCTCTTAAGAGTGACTTGTAGTTTTCAGAGTATAAGTCTTTCACTTCCTTGGTTAGGTTTATTCCTAGGTATTTTATTCTTTTTGATGCAATGGTGAATGGAATTGTTTTCCTGATTTCTCTTTCTATTGATTCGTTGTTAGTGTATAGGAAAGCTACAGATTTCTGTGTGTTGATTTTGTATCCTGCAACTTTGCTGTATTCCGATATCAGTTCTAGTAGTTTTGGAGTGGAGTCTTTAGGGTTTTTTATGTACAGTATCATATCATCTGCAAATAGTGACAGTTTAACTTCTTCTTTACCAATCTGGATTCCTTGTATTTCTTTGTTTTGTCTGATTGCCGTGGCTAGGACCTCCAGTACTATGTTAAATAACAGTGGGGAGAGTGGGCATCCCTGTCTGGTTCCCGATCTCAGTGGAAATGCTTTCAGCTTCTCGCTGTTCAGTATAATGCTGGCTGTGGGTTTATCATATATGGCCTTTATTATGTTGAGGTACTTGCCCTCTATTCCCATTTTGCTGAGAGTTTTTATCATGAATGGATGTTGAATTTTGTCAAATGCTTTTTCAGCATCTATGGAGATGATCATGTGGTTTTTGTCTTTCTTTTTGTTGATGTGGTGGATGATGTTGATGGATTTTCGAATGTTGTACCATCCTTGCATCCCTGGGATGAACCCCACTTGGTCATGGTGTATGATCCTTTTGATATACTGTTGAATTCTGTTTGCTAATATTTTATTGAGTATTTTTGCATCTACATTCATCAGGGATATTGGTCTGTAATTTTCTTTTTTGGTGGGGTCTTTTCCTGGTTTTGGTATTAGGGTGATGTTGGCTTCATAGAATGAGTTTGGGAGTATTCCCTCTTCTTCTATTTTGTGGAACACTTTAAGGAGAATGGGTATTATGTCTTCTCTGTGTGTCTGATAAAATTCCGAGGTAAATCCGTCCGGCCCCGGGGTTTTGTTCTTGGGTAGTTTTTTGATTACTGTTTCAATTTCTTTGCTTGTAATTGGTTTGTTTAACTTTTGTGTTTCTTCCTTGGTCAGTCTTGGGAGGTTGTATTTTTCTAGGAAGTTGTCCATTTCTTCTAGGTTTTCCAGCTTGTTGGCATATAGGTTTTCATAGTAGTCTTTAATAATTCTTTGTATTTCTGTGGAGTCTGTCGTGATTTTTCCATTCTCATTTCTGATTATGTTGATTTGTGTTGACTCTCTTTTTCTCTTAATAAGTTGGGCTAGAGGCTTATCTATTTTGTTTATTTTCTCAAAGAACCAGCTCTTGGTTTCGTTGATTTTTGCTATTGTTTTATTCTTCTCAATTTTGTTTATTTCTTCTCTGATCTTTATTATGTCCCTCCTTCTGCTGACTTTAGGCCTCATTTGTTCTTCTTTTTCCAGTTTTAATAATTGTGATGTTAGACTATTCATTTGGGATTGTTCTTCCTTCTTCAAGTGTGCCTGGATTGCTATATACTTTCCTCTTAAGACTGCTTTCGCTGCATCCCACAGAAGTTGGGGCTTAGTGTTGTTGTTGTCATTTGTTTCTATATATTCCTTGATCTCTATTTTGATTTGTTCATTGATCCATTGATTATTTAGTAGCATGTTGTTAAGCCTCCATGTGTTTGTGAGCCTTTTTGTTTTCTTTGTAGAATTTATTTCTACTTTCATACCTTTGTGGTCTGAAAAATTGGTTGGTAGAATTTCAATATTGTGGAATTTACTGAGGCTCTTTTTGTGAGCTAGTATGTGGTCTATTCTGGAGAATGTTCCATGTGCACTTGAGAAGAATGTATATCCTGTTGCTTTTGGATGTAAAGTTCTATAGATGTCTATTAGGTCCATCTGTTCTAGTGTGTTGTTCAGTGCCTGTGTGTCTTTACTTATTTTCTGCCCGGTGGATCTATCCTTTGGGGTGAGTGGTGTGTTGAAGTCTCCTACAATGAATGCATTGCAGTCTATTTCCCTCTTTAGTTCTGTTAGTATTTGCTTCACATATGCTGGTGCTCCTGTATTGGGTGCATATATATTTAGAATGGTTATATCCTCTTGTTGGACTAAGCCCTTTATCATTATGTAGTGGCCTTCTTTATCTCTTGTTACTTTCTTTGTTTTGAAGTCTATTTTGTCTGATATTAGTACTGCAACCCCTGCTTTCTTCTCACTGTTGTTTGCCTGAAATATGTTTTTCCATCCCTTGACTTTTAGTCTATGCTTATCTTTGGGTTTAAGGTGAGTTTCTTGTAAGCAGCATATAGATGGGTCTTGCTTTTTTATCCATTCTATTACTCTATGTCTTTTGATTGGTGCATTAAGTCCATTTACATTTAGGGTGACTATTGAAAGATATGTACTTATTGCCATTGCAGGCTTTAGATTCGTGGTTACCAAAGGTTCAAGGTTAGCTTCTTTAGTATCTTACTGCCTAACTTAGCTCGCTTATTGAGCTGTTATATACACTGTCTGGAGAGTCTTTTCTTCTCTCCCTTCTTATTCCTCCTCCTCCATTCTTCATATGTTGTGTGTTTTGTTCTGTGCTCTTTTTAGGGGTGCTCCCATCTAGAGCAGTCCCTGTAGGATGCCCTGTAGAGGTGGTTTGTGGGAAGCAAATTCCCTCAGCTTTTGCTTGTCTGGGAATTGTTTGATCCCACCATCATATTTAAATGATAGTCGTGCTGGATACAGTATCCTTGGTTCAAGGCCCTTCTGTTTCATTGCATTAAGTATATCATGCCATTCTCTTCTGGCCTGTAGGGTTTCTGTTGAGAAGTCTGATGTTAGCCTGATTGGTTTTCCTTTATAGGTGACCTTTTTCTCTCTAGCTGCCTTTAAAACTCTTTCCTTGTCCTTGATCCTTGCCATTTTAATTATTATGTGTCTTGGTGTTGTCCTCCTTGGATCCTTTCTGTTGGGGGTTCTGTATAATTCCATGGTCTGTTCGATTATTTCCTCCCCCAGTTTGGGGAAGTTTTCAGCAATTATTTCTTCAAAGACACTTTCTATCCCTTTTCCTCTTTCTTCCTCTTCTGGTATCCCTATAATACGAATGTTTTTCCTTTTGTATTGGTCACATATTTCTCTTAGTGTTGTTTCATTCCTGGAGATCCTTTTATCTCTCTCTATGTCAGCTTCTATACGTTCCTGTTCTCTGGCTTCTATTCCTTCAATGGCCTCTTGCATCTTATCCATTCTGCTTATAAATCCTTCCAGGGATTGTTTCACTTCTGTGATCTCTTTCCTGACATCTGTGATCTCCTTCCGGACTTCATCCCACTGCTCTTGCATTTTTCTCTGCATCTCATCCCACTGCTCTTGCATTTTTCTCTGCATCTCATCCCATTGCTCTTGCATTTTTTTCTGCATCTCTGTCAGCATGTTCATGATTTTTATTTTGAATTCTTTTTCAGGAGGACTGATTAGGTCTGCCTCCTTCTCAGGTGTTGTCTCTGTGATCTTTGTCTGCCTGTAGTTTTGCCTTTTCATGGTGATAGAGATAGTGTGCAGAGCTGGTACAAGTGACCGCTGGAAGAGCTTCCCTTCTTGTTAGTTTGTGGCCTTCCTCACCCCCTTCGCAAGGCGCTGGGTTCTTGCATGTGTGGATGTGGTCTGGATGTTGTCCTGTGTCCTGTGGTCTCTATTTTAGGAAGATTTTTCTTTGTTATATTTTCATAGCTCTATGTGTTTTTGGGAGGAGATTTCCACTGCTCTACTTGCGCCGCCATCATGGCTCCCGTGTATCACAAAATATTTTTTTAAGAGAGAATTTATTTAAAATTGGTTCATAAGAAAGTAACTGGAAAAAATTAGGTTAGGAAAATCTGACAGCATAGACACTCACTATATTCTATCAGTATCTTTTTTTTTTACAGTCTGCTTTCTATCATTGGATTTATTAATTCATTTAAAAATGCTGTAATGCCTACTGTGTACTAGGTGCTGTTCTGTGTACTTGGATACAGCCCTAACAAACAGACTCCCTGCCCTTCTAGAATGTACATCTTGTGAGGAAAGTGGACAATAAATGAATAAACATTTCATTTGATTATTTAATACATATAGAATAATATTGAAATACTATATGACCTAGAGCAGTGGTTTTCAAACATTTTAAAATCAGTGGAACCCTTCTACACTGGACTTGGAAGTCCAGTAACAGAAAACAGGTGAAATTGGAGTCATTTTGGCCAAATGGCATGGGGTCTCGGAGCTCAGCCTTCTCCTTGCCTCTCAACTCCCTATGGTTTCTCAGAGCACAGCTTGGCAACCACTAGCCCAAAGGATTATTGATTTTATATTGTTGAATAAGAATGAATATAAAAATGTGATTAAAACCAAACCTCTTACTAGTTAAGGGGTATGCCCAAATATGTGGTAGTAAGTAGAAAAAGATCAGAATGCATTTGTGGATTATTATCGCTCTGTATTAAAAGTCTAATAAGATTTCTACTTTTTTCCTCCTATAGAAAATTATTGGTGTGTTTAAACCAAAATCAGAAGAGCCTTATGGTCAACTGAATCCAAAGTGGTCCAAATACGTTCATAAGGTCTGCTGTCCCTGCTGCTTTGGCAGAGGCTGCCTGCTTCCAAATCAGGGATACCTTTCCGAAGCTGGTGCCTCCCTTGTGGATGAAAAGCTTCGTCTGGGCATTGTACCTAAAACAAGGGTAAAGGAGAAATGTTTTTTAATCATGTACTGCTATTTACAGCCCACTTCTCTGTGAACACTTTAGTTATATTTCTAATGACAGAGTCTGAAGTTGAGCTCCTATTTGGTAATCTAGAGTCATAAGCACTTACAATTTTATTCTCATGTAGATCTACAAAGTACCCCAGGGAGTAATCTCTTGTTCATGTGACCTGAAATGATGCTAACAAAAAGAGAAGAAAGAACTACCATTTAAAAAGCAGAAAAAGATTAAGGATCTAGAAATTCTGTTGAAGGTAGAGATAACTAACATGCTTAAAGACCACTCTATTTTTCTTTTAGAACTTTAAAAAGTTGTACTTGAAGCTTTCCTCAAAATATTCATTTTTATTCTCTATCTCAGGACTACTACTTCTTCCTTCCACTGGCCAGTTCTAGACTGCGTCTCTTAGAAAGAAATATGTGCCATTTAAGTGACTTTGCAAAATCCCTTAGTCTTTCTATATTAGATTTTGGGGTGGGGGCATGTAATATAGGGTTAAACTTGCTATTTTGCAGCATAGAGTAAATTTGATGGTGTATATAAATAGAAATACTATAGTGCAAATTCTAATAACTATTTTTCTAAACTGTATGTTTCTAGGTGGTTTGGCTTGTCAGTGAGACATTTAACTACAGTACAATTGACCGTGCAAAATCTAGAGGCAAAAAGTATGCTTTAGAGAAAGTGCCAAAAGTAGGTAGAAAATTCCATCGGATAGGACTCCCTCCTAAGGTAAGTTACTGTAGTAAGCTTTATATGGGGGGGCAGTTAAGCACATATGTGAGCTCTGTGTTCTAGGCATTGTGCTGTAGCTGTGGATATAATAGTAAAGAAAACAGTTTTTAATCTTCAAAGAGCTTACAAAGAAAAAATCTGAATGCAATATGATAAACAGAATGGTTAAGTATGGAAGCTCAGAGAGGATAAAACAGGGATGTCTGTTCCAGTTTGGAGTTCTAGGAAATGTTAAGAGGAGATTGCATCTAAGGCTTTACAAAGTAATGGCTAAAAGCACAGATTGAGAATCAGACCTAAGGTTTCACCAGCTTCTCTACCAGTTAGCTGTGAGACCGTGGGCAATTTCCTTCTTTTCCAAGCCCGTCTCTATCAAATGGAGATGATAAAAACTACCTCTTAGGGTTGTGAGGAAAAAATGAAGAAACTTATGTCTAGTACTTGGTACAGTGCCTGGCACATAGTAAAATAAATGATAGTAACTCTGTTTACTCACTACATACTAGATTTTTTTTTTCTTACCACTTTTAAATAAACCTAAGGGATGATTAGCAGCTATCTAAGCAAGGGTGGGGAGGATTAATAGGAAGGCATTCTAGAAAAAGGTGTAGGCATTTAAAAAATATGTATATTTGATCTATGATTTGGTTGCTTTGTTGTTGGTATGTATTAATCTAAATAAAAGAATTTGAGTAGAACCTCATACTTAACCTTTTAAAATTGTACTCCAAGCAAGTTTGAAAGCTTTTACAATGTCTATTACTCCTTGGATATGCTGAAATAAGTGTGACTACAGAAGGATATTATTTCCATATTTATGACTACTAGGATTTAATTATAAGTGCTTAAGAGAAGACCTTTAAGAAATTGTTAAAATTTCATGCCATGTATCATGCCATCTAGAACATAAAGTGTTAGGATAAGAAATAGATTTTCTTTGTGGTGATTTGTTTGTGTTTATAAAGCCAACTAGGTTACCCATTACCAGTGTGTCCTGTGCAGTTTAAATGTGTATTTCCTTCTTAAATATTAAATGCATTGTTTAATGTTAACAACTAGCAATTTTAGTGATAGAAATGACTTTTAAAATGGACATATCTTCAAGGAAAGGATTTTTTTTAAAAACTGCTATAGAAGTTATGATTAATTAGTTCCTTAAAATTAATGACAGGATCTTTAATCTGTATAGTCAAAGAATTCATTCTCTATTTAAATTAAGTTATTTTCCATATTTTATGTTGTAAAAAAAATTCTTAAGTAAGATAAAATTGCACTTGATAAAATTTATTCAAACCAAGATAGGTGTAAAATTTGGCCTCTGAAAGTAAATTCATTTTAACAGATATTTTTAGAAAACAGCATTCCTGTTTAGAGTATCACCTTGAGGACAATGTGTATATTTTCTTTTTTAATTATCCTAAAATGCAGCTATGGTCTTTGAAAGTTTAGAGTTGATCATTTTTGATTTGCTATGTCTTCTTTATGTGATTATTTAAAATTAGTGTATAAAAATAGTCTTTCTGATAAATGTGGCTTGTCTAAATTAGTGGGGTGTTTTTGCATTTATGTAATGTATTTTATGACAGTGCTGCTGAGAAATTAAAGAATCCCTTTTTTCTTGTACTTTCTTTTCTAACTATAGTTCTTAAAATTATAGATTGGTTCCTTTCAGTTGTTTGTTGAAGGTTACAAGGAGGCTGAATATTGGCTTAGGAAATTTGAATCTGACCCTTTGCCTGAGAATATTAGAAAACAATTTCAGTCACAATTTGAAAGATTGGTTATTTTGGATTACATCATCAGAAATACAGGTACTGAAATTTTCCCATTTGTTCACTCAAATCCTGTTAGCTTTCAGACTGTATTCAACTCTTGTTATCCAAATCAAAGATATGAAATTCTGATGCAGAAGTCTTGAGACCACGTTTCTCCACCTGCTTTGCAAAACAGAGGTGTAGTACTGACTCTCTTGAGCAGAATTAATCCCGTACTGGAGAGTCCGACTCAGAACAGGCCTCTGCCCAGGTGATAGAGACCACTTCCTATACCTAGGGGAAATTCTGTGGCAGTAGGACAAAGCCAGTTATTAGAAATGTTATCTGCATAATAAAAATAATTAAAACTTGATTGTGTAAATTATTTTAGATGCTTATTTTGACATTAGGTAACTTTAGTGTAGTCTATAAACATATTAAACTCTTCATTTGTTTCTGTGCCAGAAGGGAGCAATGATGTAGCTAATCTAAATCAGTGGTTCCCTGACCTGGCAGGGTCAGTATCACGTGAGGACTTGTTACATGTGCATCTTCTCAGGAACACACCTCAGACCTACTGAAGCAGAAATTCTGCACATGGCAACAAGTCCTCCAGGTAATTCGGGTGCACTCAGAAAGCCTGAGAACCACTGGTTCAAAATGCTTGCTCATAGTTTCTGAACTTTTCTAGGTTTACTTTCTTAATTAATATGGTCTTAGGTTAATGTTAAAATTACTGTGGAGTCTGGAGTACTCCTGTACAGATATTAGGTGAGAGTCTACCCAGTCATTTGCCTGGTAATGAGTAGATGCTTTTTTCTTAAGGCAAAGAGATTTAATAGTCCTTGACAATAATTATATGTACCTCACAGAGTGGTTATGAGGATTAAATAAATTAATACATGTTAAGCATTAAGCACTTATAACAAGGTTTGACACAGAGTGAATGCTTAGTGTTAGCTAACATTTATGAGTATTGTTTAGTTTGTATGTGTTAAATTGGAGCCTTTAGTATATAAACATATGCCCAGATAACCAGTGACGGTCTCAAAAATCAAAAGGCAACTAGGTTTTCTCCCTTGATGTCAAGCTATTCATAAAAAAATGAAGTAACAGATCTTGTTTTGTTTTGAAAGACAGGGGAAATGATAATTGGTTAATCAGATATGAAAAGCAGAAACATGGAAAGGAAATTAAGGTAAAGAAATTTAAAAATTATATGTGCATATATATTCATACACATACATACATACATACACACACATAAACATTATCAATTTCTATAAAAGATTCCTTGAAGTCAAGTTAATTCTTCATACTTTCCTCATATCCTTCACTTAAATCCTTGGTTTTATCTCCTTTTTCTGTTTTTTTCATCTTTTTTCTTTCCTCCCCCTGTTTACACTGCATTTTTTATTCTATTTTTTTAAATCTCTGTGTAGCTTTATTTTTTATATTTTATTAGAATAGAAGATTGATACCAGTTTGGTACTTTTTTGGGGGCCTGGGAAATTTGTTGTAGAACCACTAGATTTACTTTGCTTTTGTGTAAGAGAGGCTTCAGATATTTTAGGTCAACATGTTTATATTTTACTAATTCACTTCTTTTTGAGACTTAGGCCTCAATAATGTGAATGATTCTCAAAATCCTGCTGGGTGAAGGAAGCTTCACACAAAGGGAAATACTGTCTGATTCTGTCTATACACAAATCTAGAATTCCCTAGTGACACAAAGCAGACCTGATTGCCCGGGGGATGGTGAAGGAGGGAGGGAGGCACAGCAGTGGGACACTGGTGAAGGTATCCCATCTGCTGATGTTTATCTAATTGTACATGTAGTATGTGAATTGTCTGTGAATTATACTCCAATAATTTTAAGTGGAAAAGATGATAGAAATAAAAAGCAGTTAATAGTAGAAATGGGTTTGAAGTAAGGTGGAGAAAAACAAGTATCAAATGATTTCACCCATCTGTGGAGTGTAAGAACAAAGAAAAAAACTGAAGGAGCAAAACAGCAGCTAAGTACACCAATAAGCATACATATTTATAATAGTTCCTGAATATATTTTATTGGTATTTCTTGAGCAGTTAGATTTCACTGAAAATTTCATTCTTTTGCCCTTAAGTGTTTTGTGCATTTTCATCTAAAAAAGGTAATTGATACAAACTTAAACAAAAAAGCCTGGCATATATCGCATGGACTTTCACTCTAATACTTTTAATTTAAAATTATCTTTTTTACGTTTTGTTATTTTATATATTATTTTTTTATTTTGGTATCATTAATTTACAATTAGATGAGGAACATTATGTTTACTAGACTCTCCCCATCACCAAGTCTCCCCCACAGACCCCATTACAGTCACTGTCTATCAGCGTAGTAAGATGCTGAAGAATCACTACATGTCTTCTCTGTGTTGTACAGCCCTCCCCATGCCTTTACTACATTATACATGCTAATCATAATGCCCCCTTTCTTCCTCCCCTACCCCCCTTATCCCTCCCTTCCCACCGATCCTCCCCAGTCCCATTCCCTTTGGTACCTGTTAGTCCATTCTTGAGTTCTGTGAGTCTGCTGCTGTTTTGCTCCTTCAGTTTTTTTCTTTATTCTTATACTCCACAGATAAGTGAAATCATTTGATACTTATCTTTCTCCACCTGGCTTATTTCACTGAGCATAATACCCTCTAGCTCCATCCATGTTGTTGCAAATGGTAGAATTTGTTTTCTTCTTATGGCTGAATAATATTCCATTGTGTCTATGTTCCACATCTTCTTTATCCATTCATATACTGATAGACACTTAGGTTGCTTCCATTTCTTGGCTATTGTAAATAGTGCTGTGATAAACATAGGGGTGCATATGTCTTTTTCAAATTGGGCTGCTGCATTCTTAGGGTAAATTCATAGGAGTGGAATTCCTGGGTCAAATGGTATTTCTATTTTGAGATTTTTGAGGAACCTCCATACCACTTTCCACAATGGTTGAACTAATTTACATTCCCACCAGCAGTGTAGGAGGGTTCCCCTTTCTCCACAACCTCGCCAACATTTATTGTTGTTTGTCTTTTGGATGGTGGTGATCCTTACTGGTGTGAGGTGATATCTCATTGTGGTTTTAATTTGCATTTCTCTGATGACTAGCGATGTGGAGCATCTTTTCATGTGTCTGTTGGCCATCTGAATTTCTTCTTTGGAGAACTATTTATTCAGCTCCTCTGCCCATTTTTTAATCGGATTATTTGCTTTTTGTTTGTTGAGGGGCATGATCTCTTTATATATTTTGGATTTCAACCCTTTATCGGATCTTTCATTTATGAATACATTATCCCATACTGTAGGTTGCCTTTTTGTTCTATTGGTGGTGTCCTTTGCTGTACAGAAGCTTTTCAGCTTGATATAGTCCCACTTGTTCATTTTTGCTTTTGTTTCCCTTGCCTGGGGAGATATGTTCATGAAGTGGTTGCTCATCTTTATGTCCAAGAGATTTTTGCCTATGTTTTTTTCTCAGACTTTTATGGTTTCATGACTTACATTCAGGTCTTTGATCCATTTCGAATTTACTTTTGTATATGGGGTTAGACAATGATCCAGTTTCATTCTCTTCCATGTAGCTGTCCAGTTTTGCCAACACCAGCTGTTGAAGAGGCTGTCATTTCCCCATTGTATGTCCATGGCTCCTTTATCGCATATTAATTGACCATATATGTTTGGGTTAATATCTGGACTCTTTATTCTATTCCACTGGTCTGTGGGTCTGTTCTTATGCCAGTATGATATTGTCTTAATTACTATGGCTTTGTAGTAGAGCTTAAAGTTGGGAAGCAAGATTGCCCTTGCTTTATTCTTCCTTCTCAGGATTGCTTTGGCTATTCGGGATCTTTGGTGGTTCCATATGAATTTTTGAACTATTTGTTCCAGTTTGTTGAAGAATGCTGTTGGTATTTTGATAGGTATTGCATTGAATCTGTAGATTGCTTTAGGCAGGATGGCCATTTTGACAATATTAATTCTTCCCATCCATGAGCATGGGATGTGTTTCCATTTATTGATATCTTCTTTAATTTCTCTCATGAGTGTCTTGCAGTTTGCAGAGTATAGTTCTTTCACTTCCTTGGTTAGGTTTATTCCTAGGTATTTTATTCTTTTTGATGCAATTGTGAATGGAATTGTTTTCCTGATTTCTCTTTCTGCTAGTTCATTATTAGTGTGAAGAAATGCAACAGATTTCTGTGTATTAATTTTGTATCCTGCAACTTTACTGAATTCAGATAATACTTCTTGTAGTTTTGGAGTGGAGTATTTAGGGTTTTTTATGTATAATATCATGTCATCTGCAAATAGTGACAGTTTGACTTCTTCTTTACCAATCTGGATACCTTTTATTTCTTTGTGTTGTCTGATTGCCGTGGCTAGGACCTCCAGTACTATGTTGAATAAAAGTGGGGAGAATGGGCATTCCCTGTCTTGTACCCAATCTTTCAGGAAAAGCTTTCAGCTTCTCACTGTTAAGTATGATGTTGACTGTGGGTTTGTCATATATGGCCTTTATTATGTTGAGGTACTTGCCCTCTATACCCATTTTGTTGAGAGTTTTTATCATGAATGGATGTTGAATTTTGTCGAATGCTTTCTCAGCGTCTATGGAGATGATCATGTTGTTTTTGTCCTTTTTGTTGATGTGGTGGATGATGTTGATGGATTTTTGAATGTTGTACCATTCTTGCATCCCTGGGATGAATCCCACTTGATCATGGTGTATGATCCTCTTGATGTATTTTTGAATTCAGTTTGCTAATATTTTGTTGAGTGTTTTTGCATTTATGTTCCTCAGGGATATTGGTATATAATTTTCTGTTTTGGTGGGGTCTTTGCCTGGTTTTGATATTAGAGTGATCCTGGCTTCATAGAATGAGTTTGGAACTATTCCCTCCTCTTCTATATTTTGGAAAACTTTAAGGAGAATGGGTATTATGTCTTCTCTATATGTCTGATAAGATTCCGAGGTAAATCCATATGGCCCGGGGGTTTTGTTCTTGGGTAGTTTTTTGATTACCGATTCAATTTTGTTGCTGGTAATTGGGCTGTTTAGATTTTCTGTTTCTTCCTGGGTCAGTCTTGGAAAGTTGTATTTTTCTAGGAAGTTGTCCATTTCTTTTGGTTTTCCAACTTGTTAGCATATAGATTCCCATAGTATTCTCTAATAATTCTTTGTATTTCTGTGGGGTCTGTCGTGATTTTTCCTTTCTCATTTCTGATTCTGTTGATGTGTGTAGATTCTCTTTTTCTCTTAATAAGTCTGGCTAGGGGCTTATGTATTTTGTTTATTTTCTCAAAGAAACAACTCTTGGTTTCATAGATTTTTTTCTATTGTTTTATTCTTCTGAATTTTATTTATTTCTTCTCTGATCTTTATCATGTCCCTCCTGCTGACTTTGGGCCTCATTTTTCTTCTTTTTCCAATTTCAATAATTGTGACTTTAGACTATTCATTTGGGATTGTTCTTCCTTCTTTAAATAGGCCTTGATCGCTATATACTTTCCTCTTAGAAATGCCTTTGCTGTGTGCCACAGAAGTTGGGGCTTTGTGATGTTGTTGTCATTTGTCTCTGTAGATTGCTTGATCTTTATTTTAATTTGGTCATTGATCCATTGATTATTTAGAAGCATGTTGTTAAGCCTCCATGTGTTTGTGAGCCTTTTTGTTTTCTTTGTACCATTTATTTCTAGTTTTATAACTTTGTGGTCTGAGAAGTTGGTTGGTAGAATTTCAATCTTTTTGAATTTACTAAGGCTCTTTCTGTGGCCTAGTATGTGGTCTATTCTGGAAAATGTTCCATGTGCTCTCGAGAAGAATGTGTATCTTGCTGCTTTTGGGTGTAGAGTTCTGTAGATGTCTGTTAGGTCCATCTGTTCTTGTGTGTTGTTCAGTGCCTCTATGTCCTTACTTATTTTCTGTCTATTGGATCTGTCCTTTGCAGTGAGTGGTGTCTTGTAGTCTCCTAGAATGAATGCATTGCATCCTATTTTCTCCTTTAATTCTGTTAGTATTTGTTTCACATATGTTGGTGCTCCTGTATTGGGTACATATATATTTATAATGGTTATAACCTCTTGTTGGACTGATCCCTTTATCATTATGTAATGTCCTTCTTTATCTCTTATTACTTTCTTTGTTTTGAAGTCTATTTTGTCTGACACAAGTACTGCCACACCTGCTTTTGTCTCCCTATTGTTTACATGAAATATCTTTTACCATCCCTTGACTTTTAGTTTGTGTATGTCTTTGGGTTTGACGTTCATCTCTTGTAACTATCATGTAGATGGGTCTTGCTTTTTTGTCCATTCGATTACTCTGTGTCTTTTGATTGGTGCATTCAGTCCATTTACATTTAGGGTGATTATTGAAAGATATGTACTATTGCCATTGCAGGCTTTAGATTCGTGGTTACCAAAGGTTCAAGGTTAGCTTCTTTACTATCTAACTGTCTAACTTAACTTGCTTATTAAGCTATTATAAAAACAGTCTGATGAATTTTTATTTCTCTCCCTTATTATTCCTACTCCTCCATTCTTTATATGTTAGGTATTTTATTTCATACTCTTTTTTGTTTCCTTTGACTGCTTTTGTGAATAGTTGATTTTATTTTTTGCCTTTAGTTAGTATTTGGTTGGTCTGCTTTCTTGGTGTGATTTTATTTTCTCTGGTGACATCTATTTAGTCTTAGGAGTGCTTCCATCTAGAGCAGTCCCTTTAAAATATCCTGTAGAGGTGGTCTGTGGGAGGCAAATTCCCTCAACTTTTGCTTGTCTGGGAATTGTTTAATCCCTCTTTCATATTTAAATGATAATCATGCTGTATACAGTATTCTTGGTTCAAGGCCCTTCTGTTTCATTGCATTAAATATATCATGCCATTCTCTTTTGGCCTGTAAGGTTTCTGTTGAGAAGTCTGATGATAGCCTAATGGGTTTTCCTTTGTGGGTGATCATTTTTCTCTTTCTGGATGCCTTTAATACTCTGTCCTTGTCTTTGATCTTTCCATTTTAATTATTATATGTCTTGATGTTACCCTCTTTGGGTCCCTTGTGTTGGGAGATCTGTGGGCTTCCATGGTCTGAGAGACTATTTCCTTCTCCAGCTCGGGGACCTTTTCAGCACTTATTTCTTCAAAGATACTTTCTGTCCCTTTCTCTCTCTCTTCTTCTTCTGGTACCCCCATAATGTGAATATTGTTCCATTTGGATTGGTCACACAGTTCTCTTAAAATTCTTTTATTCCTGGCAAACCTTCTATCTCTCTCTGCCTCAGCTTCTCTGTATTCCTGTTCTCTGATTTCTATTCCATTAATGGTCTCTTGCATCTCATCCAGTCTGCTCTTAAGTCCTTGCAGAGATTGTTTTATTTCTGTTTTTTTCCTCCTGACTTGATCCCTTAGCTCTTGCATATTTCTCTGCAGGTCCATCAGCATGGTTATGACCTTTATTTTGAACTCTTTTTCAGGAAGATTGGTTATATCTATCCCCCCAGGCCCTCTCTCAGGGATTGTTTGGGTAATTCTGGACTGAACCAAATTCTTCTGCCTTTTCATGGCAAAAGTGGTAGTCGCAGGCAGGTAACGCATGTATCAGCTGGAAGAACAAAGTCCCTTCCTCATTGCTGGTTGCCTTGCCCTTCTCCGCCACCTGTGTCAGTTACCTGCACACTGGGAGCAGTGTCCAGGTTAATTCCCTGAGCCGCCGCAGGCGGGGCAGCTGTTGGGGCAGCCCAGAGCCCTGCAGGGAGTGGCAGGTGTATTGGGTGTGCTCTCCTGCAAGAACAGTGCTCCTCCGCGCCTTGCCCCGGCTTCCTCTGCCTGTGCTGGGCAGCTGCATGCTGGTAGCGGCCTCTGGGTCTGGTCCAGGTGGCTGCGCACCTGGAGGAGACTCCAGGCAGTTACTGCACATGCGGCCGCTCTCTGGCTGTTCAGCTGATGTGGCAGGGCCGCACCAGCGGGGGAATGAATCGCAGGCTGCTGATCACTGTGAGGGGCTTCAGAGCTACATTGCTACCCAGGGGGCTGGGGATCCTGAAGTTCCTCAGGATTCCCAGCCTGCTGGGCTGAGTATACCTGATCGATTCCATCCAGCTTTGAGGCCCCTGTCCTTTTAAGACTTTCAAAAAGCACTTGCTTTTTTTTTTTTTGTCCCAGGAGAGCCAGCTGTGGGGACCTGCTCACAGATTTTACTTTTCCATTTCCCTAATATCCAGCACACTATGCAATGTATGTCTGCGTTCCCAGTGCAGATTAGTAGGGCTGGGCTGGTTATTCAGCAGCCCTGCACTTCCACTCCCTCCCTGCTCCAACTCCTTTCCTCCTGCTGGTGAGCTGGGGGGTGGGGAGCACTTGGGTCCTGCCAGGCTGCAGCTTGTATCTTACCCCCATTGTGAGATGCTGAGTTCTCACAGATGTAGATGTCACCTGGCTGTTCTACTGTATCCTCTGGTCTCTCTTTTAGGAATAGTTATATTTGTTGTATTTTCAAATATATATGTGGTTTTGGGAGGAGATTTCTGCTGCCCTACTCACACTACCATCTTGGCTCCTCCTCCCCTTACCTTTTGTTATTTTATCTAGGCCACATAATAATGGCAACCATCTATCTTTAAATAAGAGGAAGTACTCTTTAACATGAAAACCTTGCTCCTGAGGTCTTTGTTTCTGCTACGGAAGAATGCAGAAATCAGGATGGCCTACATTCTTTAATCAGAGAGTATCTTGAGGTTCTTTCTACGGGACCTTATTATATTTAGCCAAGGTCTTTGGGAGTTTTATTTTGATATGTTTTCTATTTGAACTAATTATTTCTAGGGTTCCCTAGGAAAGACTAGATTTTAGTAAGGTAACTGTTAAATTGTTGTCTTAACAATATCAATATTTTGCAAATATACATTTAAGCAATGTGTCTAGCAATAAATTCTTCAGAAGACACTTTTTTACCTCTTAATAATTCCAGGCCCTCTTTCACAAAGAGGAAAAAATGAAACCATTACTATGTAAATTTATAACATCAAGTTTTTAAAAGTAGTGATTATGACATTCTTACTGATTTTTTTAGAGACAGCCTCCACCTTCAAGGGTGAATTTGTACTTCTGAAAACTTATTTTTTATTTTTATAGGCTCTTCCAATGGAATGTCTTTAAACTTCAATAATTATTGTAAATACTTTATTTTTTGCAAATATTCATATAAACTTTTTTGTCAACAGACTATTTTTCTCTCCTGTAGGAAGCAACATGGATTGATGATAAAGAATCGCTTATTAAAATAGCTGCAATTGATAATGGTCTAGCATTTCCTTTTAAACATCCTGATGAGTGGAGAGCATGTGAGTATTTAAAACCTATAGATTCTGTAAGTACTCCTTTTCCAGATAAGGTAGGGAACAAAACTTAGGGAGATAATGATAGCAGAGGCAAAATCATTCACTGGGGCTCTGTTCTAGGCACTAGGCTCTGTTGTATTGTTGACTTATCTTTAGCTAAGTCTGGTTTTGGTGTTTTGGCTTGTTTTAGTCTTGTAAAATAAGGTTGATAACTTTCCAGTTTTAAGTTATATGTAACATGGGAATTATCTATTTTAATATTTTGGTAGAATTTTTAATGTTTTGGGTAGCATTCACTTAAATAAAAATTTAGGTCTACCTTCCCTCAGTTTAGTGAATGCTACTTTAATTGCCTTACTACTCTCTTCTATGATTAATGATCTGGTTTTCTACATCTTCTTGAGTCATTTTTAGACATTTTTGTGTTGTTTAAAATTGTCCATATTATTTTGAGTTGTAGATTTACGGTTACAAAGTTTTCTATAGAATACTCTTACAATTAAAGAAATCCCGTCTATGCATATTAAGTGTTTAGGGGTGAAATGAAATGATGTCTGGAACTTACCTTAAAATACTTGGAGGGAAAGAAAATGGGGATAGATAAAACAAATTTTGTAAAATTTAGAAATAACTGAATTAGGCTATCCCAAATATGGGAGTTCATTGTACTAGTTTTTTAAATTTTTGTGTATGTTTGAAATATGTATAGTAAATTGAAAAAAGAAGAACCTCTGTATCTATGACTATGCCTCTTTTAAATTCCTACTGTTTGTTAGTAGGCTTTTTTTCCCATCATTAGAATTGCTGAAGATTTGTCTGTTGTAAAGCATTGGCCTTTTTATGTTTATTTATTTATTACCTTTTTTCAGATAACTGGCCTTTTATTGATCAGATTTTCAGTTTGTTTATTTGTTTTTTTCTCTGTCATTGATTCATGTTTTCTGTCATTATTCTTCTGTTGCATTCATCCTCTTTTGCTTTGCTATGTATTTTCCTCTAGAGATCATTTTGGCTAAACTAAAGGTGCTGCTCTGTTGTTCTCTTTACATATTCATACTTTCAGAGTTTCTTTCTTGGCAGGAGTAATTTAGAAGTACTTAGTTTGACTTAAAAATTTCCAGGTCAGTTGATTTATAAAAGAAAAACAACTGCCCATTGTTATTTTCAAGTTTTCTTGCTTTGTGATCTGTGAATATGGCTATGTGAATCTGCTTTTTGAAGTTTGTTCATAATTCCTTTGTAATCTGCTATGTGTCCAATTTGAAGGACTATACTTGAAATTTGTTTGGACATAAAGTTCTCTATCTGCTAATTAAAGCTTGTTAGTTGTTAGTCAAATCATATTTTGACTTAATTTTTGACCATTTGATAGGTTAATTTTTGAAAGGAAGTTAAAGTTTACTGTGGTTGTGATTTTTGTCAATTTCTTTTTGCATTTCTATGTGTTTTTGCTTTGTATTTTACATGCATAACGGTCCAGCATTTTATCTTGCTGGTGGTGTCTTGTTGTTTTATTAGTGTGAAATACATTCTGCTTTATCCCTCTCAGTTTTTTCTTGTCTTGTTTTGTTGTAACATTGTTATAGTTCATTTCCTTTTAATAGTATTTACCTAGTATTATGCTATACTTTTATTTTTAATTTCCATCATTTAAAATATGGCTTACAAGCAGCCCATAGCTGGGTATTTTTTTTACCCAATCTGAGTTTTTTTTTAATAGGTACACTTAACTGTAATTTGTCTCAAATTACTGATGTTTGAATTTTTCCTGCTAATTTTTTTCTGTTTATAATGAATTCCAGTTATTTCTTTTTTTTTAAAACCCCTTTCTTTTGTTGAACTGACTTGAGATATCTTTGTTCCATTATTTTTTCTCTAGTGGTTTGCAATCTATATGCAAATTACACTTTAAAAGTGTTAGGTACCTACAATACATGTGAGAAATTTTACCACACACACAGTTGGAGAGTAAAGGTCTGGAACTTGAAGGAGGAATTGGTATTGAGGGTATAATTTATAAACTCACCTCTGTAGTGGAAGTTGTGGTATCTGCTGTCATCCAGGGTAATCATGCCAAATAAATAACCAAAACTAGGACAGCGTGAGATACTTTAGTACCCAGTAAGTGCTTCATGAATGTTCAGTAAATGAAGGAGAGAAGGGATTAAGTATAGAATCCAGGAGAATGGTGGCACTGAAGACAAGAGGAAAAGCCAGCATATGAGACAAGTGGCTTAAAAGAATGTAAACTTTGAGAGAATGGTATGTCCAAAGCCATAAAAGAGAAATTCACCCAGTGAAGTGATAGGAAATGGTGCTACTTGCTAAAGAGGTGAAGTAGCATGAGGATTGCAAGTGGGCCTTCGTAAATACCTTGCAAGATGACTGGTGGTCTTGGGGGAGGGCGTTTGCATGGCTGTTGTAGACGTTGAGGGGTAGGAATCGACTGGAAGTGGAAGCCTGCATAGATTAAGGGCTTTTTCTCTTACATAATTATGAAGGTTCAAAGGAAATGGGACATAGCTTCAGGGAGATCTGGGGCAGAGGAAAGGCTTTCTTTGGACTGAACTGTGTACTTCCTACAGTGGCCAAAAAGAGAGATAAAGAAGGAAGAAGGAGCGACTCTAAAGGCAGGTGTTTTCTTCAGAGGCTTTTAAATGGTTGGCGCCGTCAAAGTTAGAGGTTCTCATTGGATGCACTCAGACTATTTTTTGGGTGCTCATATTGTCATAAACCTTGTACTTGATTACAGGAATCTGAATATGCACCCTCTCTGGAAGATTCCACTACTTAACAAATCTAGTCCTGGCTCTGTGTAGATTTAATGGTTCTTTTGGAAGAGAACCGGAATCATGGATCTTTTAACCCCTTAAAGCCACTCACCTTTTTCCTATTAATGATTTAAGATTTTAGAACATCATATATTTACACACACACACACACACACACACTCACACACACACACGAATGGGCAATTCCTAATGATTTGTGGCTGAGAGTGCAGGGAAACCTCAGCCATGGTATTTGATCTGGGTGGGGCTGTGAACAAATTCTAGGGATCCCTTAATTTCCAAACTCAGGAACCAGTGATTCGGATACATTTTCTGATATAGAGCTATTTGCAATAAACTCGTTATCAAAACTCTTTTTACTATTTAAAATTCAGAAGTCTAACTAGTTCAGGTAATATATTACTGTGCTTTACCATCTGAGTTGACCATCCAAACTTGGAAGCTGAATAATTTAGATTGCAAAAGATAGTTCTCTAATAATATCTTTCTCCTGTCCTTTTTTTTTTTTCCATGGAGAGCCTAGGAATTATAGGAAAAAACTAGGGTAAATGGGGGTCTAAATAAATCATTTCCCTACAACTGATGAGAAGAATACTTATTTCTGCTAGATCCATTTCACTGGGCTTGGCTTCCTCAAGCAAAAGTTCCTTTTTCTGAAGAAACAAGAAATTTGGTTCTACCAAGTATTTCTGATATGAACTTTGTGCAAGATTTATGTGAAGATCTTTATGAACTTTTTAAGGTAAATAAATTTTTAGTTTTAATTATTGCAGAAAATGAAATAAATCTTAATGTAAAAGAGATTTTCTTAATAGCGCTAATTTGCAGTTTACTGCTTCTGACTTCACTGCTTGCAGTAGAACCTGACATGACAGAAAGGAATTAGTGGTTTTACTTTACAGGAGCATAAATTTATGAAGGCCCTCTGACTATAAATATTCTTTGAAGTGAGACTACATTAAAACTTGAATTGTTTTCTTCAAAAGTTGAATTTTTACAAAATTCTCTATGAATTATAATAAATTTATATAACTGTGACCTGCTGTGATTTAATTCTCTCATAAAAGCCTTATTAATGATTTAAGATTTTAGAACATCATATATTTACACACACACACACACACACACACTCACACACACACACGAATGGGCAATTCCTAATGATTTGTGGCTGAGAGTGCAGGGAAACCTCAGCCATGGTATTTGATCTGGGTGGGGCTGTGAACAAATTCTAGGGATCCCTTAATTTCCAAACTCAGGAACCAGTGATTCGGATACATTTTCTGATATAGAGCTATTTGCAATAAACTCGTTATCAAAACTCTTTTTACTATTTAAAATTCAGAAGTCTAACTAGTTCAGGTAATATATTACTGTGCTTTACCATCTGAGTTGACCATCCAAACTTGGAAGCTGAATAATTTAGATTGCAAAAGATAGTTCTCTAATAATATCTTTCTCCTGTCCTTTTTTTTTTTTCCATGGAGAGCCTAGGAATTATAGGAAAAAACTAGGGTAAATGGGGGTCTAAATAAATCATTTCCCTACAACTGATGAGAAGAATACTTATTTCTGCTAGATCCATTTCACTGGGCTTGGCTTCCTCAAGCAAAAGTTCCTTTTTCTGAAGAAACAAGAAATTTGGTTCTACCAAGTATTTCTGATATGAACTTTGTGCAAGATTTATGTGAAGATCTTTATGAACTTTTTAAGGTAAATAAATTTTTAGTTTTAATTATTGCAGAAAATGAAATAAATCTTAATGTAAAAGAGATTTTCTTAATAGCGCTAATTTGCAGTTTACTGCTTCTGACTTCACTGCTTGCAGTAGAACCTGACATGACAGAAAGGAATTAGTGGTTTTACTTTACAGGAGCATAAATTTATGAAGGCCCTCTGACTATAAATATTCTTTGAAGTGAGACTACATTAAAACTTGAATTGTTTTCTTCAAAAGTTGAATTTTTACAAAATTCTCTATGAATTATAATAAATTTATATAACTGTGACCTGCTGTGATTTAATTCTCTCATAAAAGCCTAAACCCATTGGCTAGAAAGTAATTTTAAATCCTTTCTAAAAGAAGTTGGAACACAGATAAATTATTCCTGTCATTCTAGAGGTATACAAAAATATATCGAGTAAAAAATATTCTTTTCATGTTATTTTTATCTGCTAGGAAAGCTTTAAATGTGCTTATGTGCTAAGTGAAGAGTTTGTTTTTAAATATTTGTGTTGAAGATCTTGATTTTTAGAGGTATAATAATGTGTTTTTTTTCCTTTTTGTGGTAGACTGACAAAAGATTTGACAAAGCCACTTTTGAAAGTCAGATGTCTGTGATGAGGGGTCAGGTAGGTCACCTTTTTATGATTTTGTTCATTAAGAGAAAAAAATTATTTGAAACAGTCAACTTTTTTCTCCACTGTGACTCAAAGATACAACTCTCAATACTACCGTTTATGCTCAACCAAAATAGCTCAGATGGTTAAAAATGTAGTTGATTTCAATACTATCTTCTGTTGTCTTCTAAATTAGATATTTTGACCTTGTTGTGTATTGTTTAGTTAGCCAGTTTTCCCAAACTGTGAATTCGAATTCTTTGTCCTCATTTTGATAAGTATTTTCCTGAGTATTACTCTCTTTTTCCTCCTCAGATCCACTTGCTTGGATGTTTCAGTACCAAGTTCTGTTGTCTGTTGATAATTTTTCTTGTAGAATATGTTTGGCCTTTGCTAGGGCAGTCAGTAAATAACGATGTCACCAAGGTTGAGTGCTGATTGGGGAATAAAAGTACTGATTGCAACTCAGTCCTCTCCCCTCTTTTAATAAGAGATGCAGGATGTTAGATCTGCTCCTGTGGGCCTGCTGACTGGGCTGATCTACAGATGACATCCGGTTCTCTCACTCTATTAATTGTATTTTGATTGCAAATGGAAGACTTGAAATGAAAATAAATTGTACTCTAAACGTTGTCTTTTAGCAACTTACTAAATTTTTCTTCCTAAAATAAGCACTTATTTGCTGTATACCTGTGGCCAAGAAACTCAAGTCTAGCTTATTTTTCCTTTTTTTTCTTGTCTAGCTTATTTTTTATACTGATTATTAATTATATTTATACCTTTAACAGACTATAATTAAATTAGATAGTCATTTGTTCACCAGGTATTTATTGGTAGAACTAGTGCTATAAACTGTTCTAGTGACTGAGTTAAAGCAGTTAGCAAAGCCCAGTTCCTTCTCTCAGGGAGCTCTTGCCCTGGTGAGAAGGCCAGGGGTCAGGGAAATGGAACCAATTATTAGCCTATGCATCTCTGTGCTTGGTTGATGCATGCAGTAAGTGAATGGCTAGAGAAGGAGGCTAGAGCCGGATCATGGAGGGCTTTAAGTACAGAATGTAGATTCCACATGAAAGGGATTGGAACAGATAGAGATTTAGCATTTAAGAGTGTGATGAGACTGATCTTTTTGGAGAGGAGGCCTTATCCTGGGTTTCTTCTATGAACTCCCTAAAACTGTGTGCTAAATTCTGTTTATATATGTGTTTTTGGACCGAGGATGAGAGGTTAGGGGGTGCTAGGATTTATTTCTCAGCAAAGAGGACCTGAACTCAACGAAGATTAACAACCACTATAGAAGCTGGACAGCGGAGTGCAGATTTGCTCTGGAGATGAGGAGTTCGGAGCCAGGGAGTCCTGCTGGGTGGTGTTTTCAGTAATTCAGGCATGACTGAAGGGCTTAGATGTCAATGATTATAATTACGTTGCCAAGTATTACCATCCTCAACTATATTTGAACCAAATTTTCTGGCATAGATAATTATGCCTTAATTTGACCTTTTGGTTTGAAACAAATTGACTTGATTTACCAATATTCTCCATCTTCTGGAATTATTTTATTGCTTAAAATAATATCTTTATCTTGGGAATGCCTTTTTTAAAAAATAAAAACTAAATAATTTTATTGTAAGCTTTAGTTGTAAATTAACATGAGTACATAAGAAATTTATATTTAAATGTTTTTCTGAAAAGATAATGAAAGTGTTCCAGCTTTGAGGTCTATTACAAAGATATACCAGTGGCCTTCTGCTATTTTAGGCTAATTTATTTGTATCCTGTTTCATTCACAAAGGAGTTATGTTATTATACAGATGTGTGTACTAAACTATAAAAATGACAAGCTCAAGATCTAAGGAAAGAAAAAATAAAATGATACCTTAATTTTATGTTTTAATTTAATTTTGTTTATTTTTTTATTTCAATTTGGTTTTGACCCTTCTGATAGCCAAAAAATATAATGTGCCCTGACCATATTCATGGTTACGTAGTTCTCTGATTTTAGGTGTTTGTTTGTTTGTTTTTAAAGAAAATGTGGTCTGAAAAATTCAGCTATTGTTTTATATTCTAAAGTACATCAGTGCTTTTTGAAAGAGAGGCTTAACAAATAGAAACAAATAACAGTAAACTATGTTGTAAACAATGGAATCATTATTCAGCCAGTTCTTTGAGTCAAAATACTTGTGTTATTTCTTTTATAATTAATTATCCCTTAAATCCCTCTCCCAGTTTTGCCAGTTAACTTCATGACTTGTGCCTTCTAGAATCAAGTTTTGCCTTAGTTATAGTAGGTTTCCTGTTTTACATACATTGTCAATGACATGTTCTAATTCTTCACATAAAAATATGGATTGGAACTAGGAAATAGTATGAAGACATTTCTTTTAAAATCTGGGATTAGTAATGTTTATTAAAGCTAAAGATTTTGAATTTTACATTAAATAGTGGTAAGTCATGATCAAGGTCAGTAAGATCATTGTTCTACCCCTATTTATTTGGAACACTAGACCTCAGAAAAAACTTATCTGAAACATTTTACAAATGATCTGAAAAAAATGGCAGAAATAATAAATAAAAACTTTTTTATGAATACACAGTAAACTTATATTCAGTGATTTATAAACCAGAAGATAATTTGCAGATACAGTAATAAATGATGTTAAAGAAAATGAAACTAACACTTCAGTACCTCCTGAGTACTTATGCAGTGGCCGGATATTTATATGTTTATCTTTTATACTCCCAACAGCTCTGCATAGTTATCTGCAGGAAGGAAGTTTTATATGGAGGAAACTTAGCTTTAAAGGGGTTAAGTAACAGGTTGCATCTGTAAAATAAGGGGCTTTGTCTTAGTCTGGCAGATCTGCAACATTTAAGCACTGCATCTGCCTGGGACCCTTTATCAACTCTCCTCTGAATTAATCATCTAAGTGGTTTCCTTATATCTTTTCCAATCCCTCTTCCACATTAGACCAGAACAATATCTCTAAAAGCAAATCTGGTCATATCTCGTATGACTTAAAACTCCCTTGATATCAGTGTGTACAGGTTCACGTCCCAACTTTGAGCACAGTCAACAAGACCGTTCATGATCTGCCTTCTTCCAATATACCTGCCTTTCTCTCTCATAATTTGCAGCTTCCCCTGAGCCTGGCCACTCTTTATTGTTCTTTCCCTTTCCTATTTTCCCATTGTCCCTTTTCTTCTTCATCTTGAGAACAGTGTTTCTTTGGAGCTCCAGATTTGCCTTCTTAGGCTCCTCCTGCCACTCAGGGAGTTCTGATTTCCACAGCACTCCCTGGGAATGCACCAGTGTCACATTCTACTCAGAAATTTGACGTTAAACATCCTTATTCTAAAGTTCATATTGGACATCTTACTACTGAAAAGTAAATTCGAAGCAACCGTAAAGCAGAAAGTTTATGGTTTTATACAGATAGTACAGTGCTTCTTACGCCCAATGAAGCAGTCTCAAGGAAAGCAAAGTCTATATGCTGAAGTCTGTGAGTTGATACCGTCTGTCCTTGACGTATCACATCCCTACTAAGCTAGCAAATATGGCAGAGTTGGAGCATTCTATAGTGTGTCTCTTCGCCTGAAATGTTTATCTATTTCTAAAAATAATCTCCGATTTAAACATAGAAAAATAGATTTGTTCTTTAAGAAATAAAAAAAATGGGTGGTATGTAGGAAAGAGGATCAGATCCCCTTAGGGCATAGCTTCGCTGTTAAAGTATTTATCACACTATATTACAGTTATTTGTTGATACAGGCTGTTTTCTGGAATGTAAATGCTTAAGAGCTCACATGACTTTTTTCCTCCTAATCTTCTCTCCTCCCCCATGCAATGCATGCTTAGTAAAGTTTCTTTCATAAATAAATACAACATTATCATGTGTCTTCTCAATTCCCAAATAAATATTAATATTTAGGATACATTTAGGTTTGAATAGTTTTTGCTATTATATATTTGGAAACTGTTAATCTTGTAGAATGACTTTTATCTTTTTTGTGCCATTCTGATTTCCAAATACTCTACAACAATCATGTATTGTTTTTAGTTGGGAAAATATTTGATGTTACACTTAAATTAGTGTGTTTAGACTAACATTTTTGTAATAGAATTTTTAAAACTAGAAGAGGAGACTAACCAGAACATTTCATTCCTTAGCCTTGCCTAGTGTCCACATTTTATATTCTAAGAAGAATGCTTAAATGTAAAGTTCATAAATTCTTTTTGTCTTGTTATCCAAATATAGCCAGCCTAGAAGATTTTCAGGGAAGAACCTAAAAAGAATCCTAAACCATAAATACAATGAGTAACTGCTGTTGCTAGCAAATGCTTATGTATCTGATGTGTTAAATACTTCACATCTTCTAGGCTCTAAACTACCAAACTTATACTATTCAAACTATTAGGAACTTTACATATTAGTATGGCTTTCTGTTGAAAGCTGTATGCTTATCACTATTAAAATAGTCTGTACCAGAACCAGTAAAATGTATATTACATATTTTCAAATACTTGAAGGAAACATTCTTATTCTAAAGTATATGCCAAAAAGGATTTTAACCTAATTTGCAGGAAAAAAGTAATTAATTAATTATTTTTTATTTTATATGAACAGAGTAAAATAGGCTACAAGCTACACTTTGAGTTTCATAACTTTAGTTATATGCTCAAGTAGCAACTACAAGAGTATGTTTAAACATGGAGCATTATGTATTTCACTTTTCCTAGTTTTATTTTTTCTGTGAAGAGTAAATTCTTAAATGAACTTGATTTTAAATGGACACCTTCCCAAGCTCTCCAGCCCATTAGCCCTGCATCGTGCTTTCCCATGGCACTTTCACCTTCTAATATTTGGTATAACTTACTTACTTATTATGTGAATTGACTCCTCTTCCTGCTGAAGCATAAGCTCTTTGAAGGCAGGGTTTTTGTTTGGTATCCCCAGTACTTAGAACAGAGCCTAGCACATAGTAGGCATGCAATAAATTTATTTGATGAATGAGTGGATAAGGCAAGTATTTAGTTAAAAGCAGACTGTTTAGACCAGTATTTGTTTAGGTTCTATGTCAAATGGAGTATATGGAACCATTCACTTTACTTGGATTCTGATTCCATTGATCCTGGATGTAGGTGATTCTAGAATATTTTAGTTACCAATTGGCAAGAATTATTTAGTTCTAATTTTGTACATTTGTGTATGTATATGTATGTATGAACATACATTCATCTGTATAACATTTATAGCAGTTAATCCTCATCATAGTCTCTGTTGGGCATAAATGGGTGGTCATTTTTGAAATGTTGAAAATATCTCTTCTTCTCACAGATCTTAAATCTCACTCAGGCCTTGAGAGATGAGAAGAGTCCCGTCCAGCTGGTGCAGATGCCTTGTGTGATTGTGGAGCGCAGTAAAGGTGGCAGTCAGGGCCGGATTGTCCACCTCAGCAATTCCTTCACCCAGACTGTCCATTGCAGGAAGCCATTTTTTTCCTCCTGGTAGCAGATGTAAGAGTAAGAGAAACAAACTGTTTGGCGTTATTGCATTACTGAAACATTATGGTAATGTAAATCTGTTAAGAGCTCCATTTGCCAAAACCTTGAATAATGTAAGTCTTTAAAAGGTTATCTTTGAATGTAATCAAAAGTTTACAGTTTTTTTTCCAAATATTAAATTTCTATTTCAGGGAAGAAGTGATATATCTCCTATATTGTATTTTTGTAGAAAATTTTTATTTTATGTCGATGTTAGTCTAAAAAGTAATTTCATGGTTTACACTTTCTGAAATGATAGTAATTACTTTAGAATTCCAGGCAGATAGGTATTTGTTGACTTTGAATACAGTAATTTTCTATATACTTTTTAAACACTGAGAAGAGTGTTCATGCTAACTCTTCTTACATTATAAAAAACCTTTGAGGGGGAAACTGCTCTTAAGAACTTTAACAGAGTAGCTGATAGAAAAACAAGTAAGAATAATAAAGCAATGTTGCCTTAACTTAAAAAGCTGCTGTTTTAGAACTTGAATAAGTACCCCTAAAGTGACCATTATTAGCACCACCAGAAAATTATATTTTGGTTAAGTAACAGACGACCACTTTCTTTTTTGTATTTCAGAATATTTTTGTTCAGTTATTTTGTTATAGAGAAAGCAATCTCAAGATATCCCCCCTTTTAAAAAAATGGAAGCACTCAACTGAGATTTGAAGTGAATAATGTGAAACTAAGGTAGATCTCCAATATTTTCAAATTCCAAAATAGCATTAAAAATTCCCTTTTGGTTCTTGCATAGGATCAGTTACTTAATCAGTAATTTAAACTACTGATTTTGTTCAATTTAGTACTTCAATTAGTATTAAACTTCACTGAAAAGTAAACCAAACCTCAAAAGTACACAATGGATTGCATTTTGGGGTCCTAGGACAATAAGCTCTTAAAAATAATTGTAGTATTGTAGAGTACTTGAAATTACTGATATTACAATTACAGTCAACTTTAGAATATCAGCCCTATTTAAATGGGAACATGACTGATAGAGCCATAAAATCATTTATATTTGATTTTGAATATAGTATGTCTGATATCCTAAAAATTTGTAGCACTTTTAAATCACCAAGTGATTTAAATTGAGATGAGCGCAATATAAAGATGTGATTCCAAAGGAACAAAAGTTTCATTCTCTAGACTGCAAAGAAATAACATCACTCTTCAAACTAAACTGGGCAGTTTGTAGTCTTGGCCTTTTGTTTTTTAAACTTTCTGTCATGTGCTTTTCTTTTTAATGAAGTGTTTTTGTGTAAAAAGAATTTCCTGGAGGTTAAATTAGGATGGAAGACAGTTCTGCAGTTTCCCCTAACTTCACATCTTTCTCTTGGACTTCATGGATGTGATGAGTGAGAACAGTGCTGCCTTAGTAGCAGTTCATTGGAAACCTGTGTCCTCCTATCTCCCCAGTCCTCCGTGATCTTAATGTTGAGATAATGGAAAATTGACTGGAAATTCAAAACTCAAGCTACTATCTTTAGATAAGTCCTGGTAATTAAAATGTGCCTTTTCAAGATGTGTTCTTAAAGAAATACGTTGTTATGATGTTGATATGACTTTCATAAAACAATTTTTTCAGTACTTTGAGAATTGCCATATAATTCTTATAATGGAAAACTTAGTAAATTACTAGTTTTATAAAAAAGTAAAGTTGAAATATGTAAGATGTGATCACAAGTTAAAGTACATTGGTTATTTTTGTAAATTTTCATGAACTTAATTCTTATTTAAACATTGTGCTAATTTTTTCAGTAAGTATATTTATAGTGTCAAATATGGTAAAGTAAAAGTAATAAAAATCATTGTTTTAAGGCAAGATTTCTCCTGAAGTATGTATATTGAATATTTAGAATGTTTGCAGACACACTTATGTTTGTAAATGATGTCAAACTACCATTTGTTACTCTATATATTAGTGGCATAATTTAATTTTTTATAATTCCAGAAAATATGTTTTCTTCTTTAATTAGCAACATTTTAATTTTAATTATATGCTACCTTAATACCTTATTCTCTCCCAAATTTGTCAGCAATTAAAACTTGTAGAAACATTTCTTTTTGCAAACTTGAAAACAATTTGATTCACAAAAATTTTTTTTGATTCAAAGTTCTGTACTGATGGTGTTAAAACCTTATTTAAAAAATGATGATGATATGTTCTTTGATCAGATTACATTTAAAGATTTATAAACAGACAAATAAATTCTTATGTTTCCTAATCTCCTTTCCCAGAGGTGCTTGGGCAACTAACTGTACAGAATTGTGGCAAAGATTCTTAGTGTTGCTCCATTTGACCCAGGAATTCCACTCCTAAGAATTTACCCTAAGAATACAGGATCCCAGATTCAAAAAGACATGTGGCCCCCTACGTTTATCACAGCACTATTTACAATAGCCAAGAAATGGAAGCAACCTAACTGTCCATCAGTAGATGAATGGATAAAGAAGATGTGGTAGATATACACAGTGGAATATTATTCAGCCATAAGAAAATAAATCCTACCATTTGCAACAACATGGATGGAGTTAGAGGGTATTATGCTTAGTGAAATAAGCCAGGCAGAGAAAGACAAGTACCAAATGATATCACTCATCTGTGAAGTATAACAACAAAGCAAAACTGAAGGAACAGAACAGCAGTAGACTCACAGATCCCAAGAATGGACTAACAGTTACCAAAGGGAAAGGGACTGGGTACAGTGGGTGGGAAGGGAGGGATAAGGGGAATAAGGGGCATTACGATTAGCACACATAATGTTGGGGGGGCATAGGGAAGGAAGTATAGCACAGAGAAGAAAAGTAGTGACTCTGTAGCATCTCACTATGCTCATGGACAGTGACTTAATGGGGTATGTGGTAGGGACTTGATAATGGGGGAAATCTGGTAACTACAGTGTTGCTAATGTGATTGTATATCAATGATACCATAATAAAAAAAAACAAACACTGGAAAATAGAAAAAAAAGAAAGATTCTTAGTGTTGCTGTATATTTCCAAGTCTCTCTTGCAGTTAGTTTGGGGCCATGTCCCTGAGTTCTGGTCAGTGAGATGGGGGACAAGAAATAAGTGACTTCCAGACGTGGCTATCACTGCTATCACAATCAGTTTTGGAGGAGTAAGCAGAAGGAAAGTAAGGGGACTTGTGATGGTCTGAAAAACCAAAGAACGCAGAATTGGCCAACATACGCAGCCCCAAATGGAGGAGTCTGCAATAGTGGTGGAGTCTCAACTGAGGGATCCGAAACCACAATCAGAGGGAGAGAGCTGTCCAGCATTCTTGGTAGCTAATAAAAGGAGCCTGCAGGAAGTCATGAGGGTCTTAGAGCAACTTGGTCTTAGCTCTCAGAAGTAGCCAGGGAGAGTGCCTAGGCCAGCACGGAGAAACTGTTGGATACAGACCACTCCGTGACAATGGAAGGACTCGGGGGGTAAAGGAGACTAGGTTCAGATACTGATAGAGAGGGTACCAAATGAGACAGAATTCAGAAAGTACCGAATAGGTACACAGAAAACCATGTTATATAATATTTTGTAGTAATTACAGAAGAGAGAGCACTAGAACCATGAAACTAGTAAACTGTCCTGGCCTACCTCACCTCCTACACAAAAATCTTCTAAAAATATAGGAAAATCCATCTCACTAAACATGACCACATCTTACAATGTGCTCTAATAAAACAGGATAACAATCTGTACAACTTACCACAGAAAGTACAGATATCACAGAAATAGTTATGAAGCAGAGGAAAACAGTAATTTTTTTTAATGCTGAAGAAATTCAGGAAATGGTAGAAACTAAGAAAGAACAATGTAACATCAAAATTGGAAAAGCTCAGAAATTAGATGGTCAAGCAATAGGAGGAAATAAAATGAGAGCTGAATACTAGAGTGAAAAATATTTTTCAGAAATAAATTAGAAGAAACACAGAACAAATAGACAACATATCCACCAACTCCCTACAGCAAACATCATAGTGTTCAGGAAATCTCATGCTTTCTATATTAGTTTTCTATTGCTGCTATAATAAATTGTCACCAACTTTAGTGGCTTAAAACAATGCAAATTGACTATTTACAGTTCTGCAGGTTAGAAGTCTGATACAGGACTCTAACCGTGTCAGCAGGGCTGCATTCCTTTCTGAGGTTCCAGGGAAGACTGCTTGCCCTCTCCAGTTTCTAGAACCCTCACACATTCCTTGGCTCCTTGGCTTGTAGCCCTCTTCCATCTTCAAAGCCAGCAACAGTGGGTTGAATCCTTTTCTCATGAAATCTCTCTGATGCCAGCTCTTCTGCTTCCCTCTTGCTCTCTGAAGGACCCTTGTGATGATATTGGGCTCACCCAGATCATCTAGGTACTTTCCCTGTGTTAAGGTCTGTTGATACACAACCTGAATTTCATCTGCAACTTTAATTCCCCTTTGCCATGCAACATGCTCACAAGTTCTGGAGATTAAGACATGAACATCTCAGGGACTTTTATTCTGCCTTCCACACTTTCCCTCAGATCGGGTATATGACAGTGATGCCTGCTTTACTGGAGATCCTAACCAATGGAATAAGAGCAAGAAAGAGAGGGATAAAGTGAGGATCAGAAAGTAAGAAACAAAACTGTCATTATTTACTGTTGACATAATTATGCATGGAGAAAACTCAAATATCTACAGATAATTATTGAGAATTAGCAGGATACACACACAAAATAAACCTTCACCTTCATTCCATACATAGACCTAAATATAAGAACTGAGGACAAATGGTATAAAAGAAAAAATTGATAAGTTGGTCTTATCAAAAACTTTTGCCCTTCAAAAGACATTTAATGAAATGAAACCTCTAGCCACAAACTGGGAGAAAATATTTGCCAAGCATATAAGATGAACTGTATCCAGAATTATGAAACATATAAAGACATTATACAACTCAATAAGAAATAAAATTATTCAATTAAGAAATGAAAAGAAAAGAAATGGACACTTCATAAAAGAAGAGCTATGAGTAGCCTATAAGCACATGAAAAATGCTCAACATTAACATTAGTGAAATGCAAGTAAAACCAAGAGTGGAAAACGTACCTAGCTTATCATCTAGCCATTCCTCTTCTTAGTATTTACCCAAGAGAAATAAAAGCAAATAGCCACACAGACATGTTCATAGCAGCCTTTTTTGTAATGCCGCAAACTGCAAACAACCCGAATTCACCAACAGGTGGATGGATAAGTGAGAAATACATACATACAACAAAAAGGAATGAACTATTGACACAACAACATGGATAAATTTCAAAATCATTATGCCAGCTGAAAGAAGCCAGACACAGAGGACACAACTGTATGGTTCCATTGATGTAGAATTTTCCAAAACGAAATTTACTATTAAAGGAAACAGTCCAATGGTGGCTATGTGGGGATCAAGTCAGAGGGAGGGAGGAATTACCTGGGGGCATGAGGAACTGGGGGATGGTGGAGATATTTTGCATCTCAATTGTGGCCTTGATTTCACAGGTTGAATACATTTGTCAAAAATCAAATTGCACAGCTCAGTGTAGGTAGATTATTCCTTGTAAAACAATAATGGTTTACCATCTCAAGCCTAACAAATTTGGGAAAAATTATAAGCCTGACAATTGGAACAATCATTTTGGAGAGCCATATCTAGTAAAACTACGGATGCAAGTACTCTGTCGTAGTAAATGCATGCAGAGACATATACAAGGTTTGTGAACGCTGTAGTGTTTATGGTACTGAGAAACTGAGAACAATGGAGATATCTGTCAGCAGGAAAACGGATGAGTAAGTCATGGTATACTCATGCAATGGAAGACCATAGCGCAGAAAATAATTGAACTGTAACTACATGTATCAAAATGTACCAAACAATGTTGAAGAAAAAGCTGCGGAAGTATTTACACATACCATTTCTGTAAACACAAAGCAGTGCCATGTGTTCTTTCTTGACGTATGCATACATGTAAGTATACAAAAACTTATATGGACAGGAATGGCCTTCTCCCAAATTCAGAATTGTTACCTCTAGAGTAGGAGGATTTGAAAGCAGATGTAAGGGGTACCCAGCATACTTTAAGTATAAAATGCTATTTCTTAATCATCTAAAGAAATAGGACAAGACATCCACATTTGTTAAAACCTGATAGGTGAGTGTTGTTTTTTTTTTTTACATTATTCTCTGTTATATTCCACAAGCTTCAATTATTTAAAATTTAAAATTAAGCTTTTACCTAGGAACATATTGACATGAATGTTTTGTCTGCCGCCTTTATTAGTGTATAGGGCTGCCATAACAAAACACCACAGACTGAGTGGCTTAAACAACAGAAATTTATTTTCCCAGAGTTCCTAGAGTTCTGGAGGCTGGGAGGCCAGAAAAAGGATGCTGGCAAGGCTGGTTTCTGGTGAGGCCTGCTTCCCTGGTTTACAGAAAGCCGGCTTCTGACGGTGTCCTCACATGGCTTTTTCTCTGTGCGTGCTTCCCTGGTGTCTACTCCTCTTGTAAGGACACAGATCCTATTGGATTAGGCCCATCCATATGACCTCAGTTAACCTTAATTATTTCTTTAAGAGCTAGATATAGTCACAGTAAGGGTAAGGGCTCTGCATATGAATTTTGGGGAAGACACAATTCAGTCTGTAACACCACCCAAACACTCTTAGTTGTATCCCCAATGGAAGACCGAAATAGTAGGAACACCCACCTTTAAGTATTTTCTGAAGTGAGGTCTAAAAAGCTTTCTTCTTAATAACGTGTAGAACTTCTTAACCTGGATTTGTAATAATTATTTAGTCTTCTGAGATAAAATTCTTGCTTACTCCTGGGCTCTTGGTTCTGTTCTACATAGTTATGAACCATAATAGCTCATTTCTCAGTGATGGCAGACACATGAATTTGCTTTAGCCCTTGTTCATTTCCTAAAATCCCAGCTACTAAATGGGTAACAATTACTGGATGGTAGATTCAAGTCACTCATTGAATTCAGCAACATTTATTGGACACTCACTTCGTCAGATTCTGTAAATGATAGTATGAATACAAAAATACGAAAAAATGCAAAAAGTATAGTAAAATATAGTTTCAACTCTTGTGTTCACTCTTCAAATACTGCCAAAGGGAAAAAGAAACCTGAAAATGGTAATAGGCCTAAAATCAAATATTTTCTAGAGAATAATGTCCTCATCTTTGGTTGTGTGTCTTACACCTACATGTT